TATTCTGTAACTTTATATGTTTAGGGAGGTTTGCCACGATGCATGGAGATATTATAACTGGATGAACTATATCGTCCTCATTATAGTATAGGTACACGAAGGAAGAGGAGACACGGTTGTTTCCCATTAGAATGCCACGTGTCTGGTAAAAACCAAACGTAACAAATGTTGTTTATAAAAAAAAATCAAGAATCGGACATCTGACCTCTTGCTCAAATCCGAGTTGGTTTCGATTTACAAAGTGTCATATGACCGGCCGTTCCTAAAACAAGATGTGTAATTACCGTGGTCATTTTATGATACACAGTTTGAAGCCTTCACGTGGCTATCAACCATACTTCTTAAAAGGTAGGAACATATGGTTGTTGTTTTTCAAGACTGATCCATACGAGGATTTTTCAGAATCTTTTCAAGTACAATTTGTTTTTACCATATTGGAAATGTTGCTTAGTTCAAGGATTTGTATAGTAAGAAGGATTAAAAACTCAACGATCACAACATCATATCTTTTAAAAGTAGACCTCTTGAGGATCATTTATACTTGGCTTGGTCTATTGCTCCAGTGATTTCAGCGAAGATTTTTAAGCAGTTTATCAAACCGGGTGCATAATAACAAGGGATATCACGTGATGGCAAGAGCTTATCCCTTGCCTTGTGTGCATTGCGAGTTTTGTAATTTAAAAATAGCATGTCATGTTTTTTTTTACTGATTTCGACCTTTCTGAAACTGCACACACTTTTAATGAAAAGTTACATAGAAAATTAGTAAACACTAACAACCATCAGGGATTGCGTTACCACAAATTTTAAACCTTTGCCAAATTCTTTGAAGATTTGGTTAGGAAGTTTGGCTGTACCTGTAGAGTTCTTATCAAAAACGGGATATCACATCCTATTTTTTACGGTGATGTTTTTAAAGTTCGATTTAATCCATGTAAACTAATTGATCCTTTGAATAAACTTATTCTTAAAGGTTACCAATTTAACACAATAGTAAAATCTGTAAATATTGTTTTTATTGGTATTAACATTGATTTTGCTTTTCAAAAATTAAAACATAACTAAATATTTATTGGTATACATATAGTATATATATACAGTTATGAAAACCGTCATTATCCTTCATCCTGTCGATACTGTTTACTTATATTTTGGCATTGCACACGGTAGTGCGTTTCTCAGACTGTTTGGATGTGTACCGATTGATACTTTAGTCTAGGAGAACATGATTTATTTATTAGTAGTAATTGGCTTTGAACTAGCTTTCAGTAACTTCGGGTACCCTTATTTCGGTGCTTTGTGGTCTTGTTTTTATGTTAGATTGTGTGTCTCGTACTGATCTTTTGAGTCAGTAAGCCAAGTGCAACGGATTTTTACTGTTGTGTTGAATATACATTACTGTCCCAGGTTAGGGGAGGGTTGAGCGCTCACAAACTTCTTTAACCCTGCCACATTCTTTATATGCCTTCACAAGTCAGGAGTAGTAGTTCCGTGGTTGTTGTTGGTTCATGTCAGTCATAGAAATAAGAAGCCTTGGCTCACACCGAACAGCAAGCTATAAAGGGCCCCAAAATCACCAGTGTAAAACAATTGAAACTGGAAAACCAACGGTCTAATCTATATATATATATATATATATTTGGTATTAGATTAAAATTAAGATCCATTTTGTTACAACTGTGATCTGTTTATTTGGCAATCGCCATGGCAGTCAGCAGGGTTTAAGAACATCTGTTGTTCAACCTGCTAGTCAAATGCGTTTTGTTAAAATATACTTTTTCACTTTTTGGTCTTTTGGAAAATGTTGTTTGTGCTGTATTTAGACCCCTCTACCAAGACATTTGTTTCGCATGCACACGTATAAAAATTGCAGTTTTTATCCAACGCAATCATAGGTTTGAACCTTGTTTTCAATTTAGACTTGTATATATATATATATTATACTAGTATATATAAATTCATTGTATTGGAACAAAATTCTAACTTGATCTATAACTTGTCATGGTGTAAGTAGAGACATATATACAGTGTATATATGTCTCTGGTGTAAGCTATATAACAAATATCAAGTCAATATCTTCAAGCATGACGAAAAAAAAGTGTTGAAAACTGATTATTTAAGTGAATTTTCTAAGTCCAAGGACCATAACTCTGCACAAAAACATCAGACTGGAACAAAATTCGAACTTGATCTGTAACTTGTCATGATAAAACTATATACCAATTTTCAAATCAATATCTTCAAGCATGACGAAAAAAGGTGTGGAAAACTGTTTGCCGGACTGACAGATGGACAGACGGACGGAGTGCAAACCTAAAGTCCCCTTTGACTTCCTCGGTAGGGGACTAATTAGAATAGGCCGTTAGTTTTCTCGTTTGAATTGTTCCACATTTTTCATGTCGGGCCTTTTATAGCCGACTATATGATATTAGTTTTTCTGGTTGTTGAAGGCCTTACAGTGGCCTATATTTGCTTACATCCACTTCCTCTGAACTCTGGTTGATAGTTGTCTCATTGCAATTGGCAATCAAACCAGATCTCCATATTTTTATACTGTTTGGAAGAATAAGTTTGTATTGAATGATGATTCGGTATACCCAGCTACATGTAGGCCATTGTTAGAGGGAACACTGTGAATCCTTTTAATCTTATAATCCCTGTGCCCTTTTTCATTTTATCCTGACACACTATCATTTTAATTTAGCTGCCCTTTCTTTTTCCAACAAAAGTTACAACTGTTGACTGCTGATTTACCCGTTTTGAAATAAAACTTAAACTAAAAGAAATAAATGGAGATTGTGTCCATGGGACACAGATGATGCCCTGCTTGCATATAACATTATAAAGGGACATAACTCAAAGAGTGGTAAAAGTGACGCTACCCAAATTTGATCTTGGTCTAAGTTTTGTGAAAATAAGCATTGTGTATAAGTTTCATAAAATTTGGTTGAGGCAAACTAAAGTTAGAGAACGGAAACCATTTTGGGACGTACGTACATATGACCAAGGGTAACACTTAATGTCTCCTACGATGACCGCGGGGGCATAAAAATATGAAGTTGCTTATTTATATCCTTTAAAGGTAAAATAGTCTTTTTGTGATTTTTGTTTAGGCAACAGATTAAATTTATATGTTGTTATACCTAAATACAGATGATATGCTGTAGTTCAGTCTGTTTCTTTTCAAAATAATATACAATTATTACCTTCATATGAGGTGAACATCCCAGGTGTAAACCCGAGAATGGTTGTATTCTTAAGCAATTTTGTGTACGCCTAAAATCATACTTGATATTAATAGAGTAAATAATGTATTGCCTGAAATAAGGAGACAAATAACATCCAGTTTGAAAAAGCCAAGTCTACTCCAGAATGACTATTTGTCCAGCATGGGACAATAGTATCTACTGGGTAATCCCTAACCAGTATTGTCTCCTTTGACAGAAAATTTTGCAAAAACAACTAAATTGTCTTATAGTAGATATAGCTATATATATTACATATGGTGTAGCATTCTTCTTTTTTCATTGGTTATTACAATCACATGATTCAGTGTATCCCATGTATCTGAAGTCTTGTTTCTATTTTTTTTAAAAGTATATGGACACTATATTTCTATTATATATTTATTGACACTTAACTTCTAGATACGGAAATAAACTGTTCCCGTCCGAAATTAATCTCCACCACATAGAAAGAATATTGAAGTCCATTCCAATAATACACTATTTACATAATATTATGTAATATATAAATTAAGGACTTTCACTCAGTCAATACGTTATATATATATATAGACCGGTTTGATTATATTGATCCTCCGAATTCGTTCTCAGTCTATCAATAGTTTCGGTCATATTGACATTTTTGTTGTTTACAGTTTCTATTTATGTATAATAGTTTTCGAGTCATAGGCAAGAACTCAAAAATTTTTCAAGAGCAATTACTTTTATAGGGAGTCATCCAATGATTTCAGTCATATTTGCATTTTTGTAGATCTTATTTAATGATCAATTTTGATGTTTAAAGTTTCTAACTATGTACATTTGTAATACATTTTTTGAGATAAAAGGGAAAAACTCAGAATGAGTCAAAAATTGTCATTTCAGGGAAACTGCTATCATGAGTCATCCAATAGCTAAGGTAAAATCAGTATTTTTGTAGATTTTGTATTGGTGATCATTTTTTATGTTTACAATTTTTACCTTCTTGTATCCGTTTTCTTCATAAGTTTTAAGTGGTAACAAAATTAAATGGTTAAAAATAGTTTTAGGGACTTGAATCTCTTCAAAAGATATTTATTAAGAGGTTCAAATTTGTTTTAAAATGATTTTAAAGGATAATTGATATTTGTAAATGGCAAAGTTAATAGAATTATATATCAAACTTGACTGGCTTCAAACTTTCTGAGGTACAATTAACGAGATAATTAGCAAATTATTTCCTTTCAATCGAAGGAGTGTCAAAGTAATGTTTTCATAGATATAAATCATTCAATTAAGAGCAAAGCATCAAAAACTTTCTGTCTAGGAAGAATTTTGAATTTGACCTTTTTCAGAGGAAAATCTAGCATTTTAGACATTGGAAGTCTCATGGCACTAGAATGCAGGTGAAAACTGGCCATATAATGAAATCATGGGTTATTTGATGACCAGGGCAGGTATTGTAAAATTTCGGGTGAGCTCTTAAATTCTCAGGTGTGACCCGCAAAATTGGGTCAGTTGACAGGTAGATTGACAGAAACACAAAACACAAAAAATTTATACATGTATGTACTGGATAACCTAAGGATCAGTAAGTTCAAGTTTGATTAAAATATGTTCAGTGGTTTCAGAGGAGTAAATTTTTTTTTTTTTATAAACTTTTGACGACAACAATGAACTGTGTCCATGATGGACGCCAAATGATGGCAATAGCTCAGATGGCTCATAGGGAATGAGCTAAAAATAAAATATTATACCCACCCATTTAACATATTACCACTGACAATCATATCAACTTCAGCATGAAAATAATTTATTTAGAAAAAATTATAAACATATCAACAGGTTATATAAGCATACAGAAGCCAATCAAATCAGAAAAGAGGTACTTAAATTCCCCAATTATGCCAGTCCACAGACAGAAACCTCTCATTCAACCTGCTAGGAGGCCTTCCCTGGTCCATAGACCCTTGCCTAAAATTCTAAACAAAATCACTTCTGAACAATCTTTTGAAAACCCTACATGGGGTACAATTGTTAATAAATGGACCATTAGAATATTTCTTAGGGATTACTCAAATATAAGATAGGTCAACCAATGGGGCATTATCAAAACAAGTTTGATAAAGGTTGGACATATGGTTCAAAAGCTGCATTGACCTTGTCCCTTGACCTATTTTACCCAAAAATTAATAGGGATATTCTTAATGCCATTAGGCATTAAAAACCAGGTTTGGTAAAACATATATTCAAAAGATAACATCCAAATCCAAAAATTTACTCCAAGTATCAGTCTATCAAAGGCTGCTGTGATCCTGACCTTTTGACCTATAGACCCTGTAATCAATAAAGACGCTGCTTATCTCATGGGGCATTCATTAACAACCAAGTTTGGTAAAAGTTGGACATATGGTTCAAAAGATAACTTTTAGAAACCAAAAAACTTATCCCCATAAAAAAAAATAAATAAAAAAAAAATAAAAAAAATTAATAAATTTTTAGTCCTTCAATAACTGTGAATTTGACCTTGACCTATTGACCCAAAAAATAATTAGGGTTTTCTTCTTCACAAGGGTCTTAATCAAGCATTATCATTATCATTAATCTTGGTAAAGATATTCCTTATGGCTCTAAAGATTTTGTCCATAATCCAAATAGGTGATGCCTGGCTAACCAATTATAAGCCAAGTTCCACATCATCACAACAAAGCTCAAAATAGCTTTATGGTCTAAATTTGCTATATGCAAAATGTAGCCCTGATAGAGGTTGGCTAAACATACAAACAGAGTAACGAGAGAATTAAATGGTACATTTTCTCTGCTACTTCCTCTGGCCATGGGGATAACAAGGTATATATAAATTAAAAGTGGGAAAAGCCTATTTGACCATTTTATTCAATGGCCTTTCCTATATCATAAATTCAGATCTGACGTCCCAAGTGCCTTCATTTTCTCAGAATATTTTTCAATTAGGGGATCTGCTTCTTTATCCAGAAATTGTTCTACCTGAAATGGATATAATTTCATATTATTATCAAAAAATATTGTACTATAATATTTTTACAAATGTAGCAAAACATATTTTAATACTAACAGTCTATTTAAATATTAAGGACCTATCAGAATGAAATGCAGCAAATAGTAAGTGCCATACTATCTAGTATTAAGAGGATCAATTGATGCTTTAGTAGTACCTTCCAATATAAGTGGACTATAGACAAATCACTGTGTACCAAGGGTACATTTTGCACATCCAATTTTAATTGTTTATGTGTTCATTTATTTTCTTGCAAGTGTTCAACTGTTTAAATTAAGGGTTCTTGTTAGATTAATTTGGTCATTGTCAAAATTATAGTCTTGCTTATATGGCTAAACTGAGAAATTCATTATGTATTTCTTGAATAAATAATCGGTCAACCATAACAACCAATGTTATAAGTTTTTTATGGGAGACTGTTGTATTCCTGTACATGTAACACCATTTTAATTGTATGATTTTATGTCACTTAGTACCTGAGATTTGAACTCATGACTTCACTTAATAAAGTCAGTTTAACTTATTTCTGAGGAATACTGCTGTACTCTCCTATATACATTCTTACACCAAGTTTAATACATGATTATGGATAACTTAATATCTGAGAGTTGGACTAGATCCTCAAATCTAATAGATATAAGGGAAGAGCTAAATGTAGGTCTGTGTGACCTACTATTAATGGAAAGGTGCTATATGGTCCTAGATGCATCCCTAGAAGTTTAATGAGAATCTGAAGTCTGAAACCAACTGTAAAACTTTGTAAGTCAGAAAACAGTAAAACATTGGTCAGGATGGCTAACTTTTTAAAGGAGGCTGCTATACTCCACTGCATCCTTACATCACATTATATGATAGTAGGGCTAGGTCACTTAGTATAGATAGAACTAAGAAACTAAGAGGTGTGTCAGTGAAGCAAAATATAGGTCAGAGTGACTTACTTTATTGTGATGGGTGTTTAACACCACTTTCAGCACTGTTGGCTATTTTGTGACGGCCAGTTTTTATTGGTGAAGGAAACCAGAGTGCCTAGAGAGAACAAGCAACCTTTGGTAGGAAAGTGACAATCCTGGTCAATTAAGATTGGAGTCGAACGCACCTGCCCGTGTAGGACTCGAACTGACAACCTCAGTGTTGACAGGCCACTGAGGCCCTACTTTATTGTGAAATGCTGCTATATGCACAAAGATGAATCCATTAATAAGGTCAAAACTCCAACCTAAAGTTTGTGAAGAAGTGGTTTAAAAAAACTTAAGTTTTTTGCACATGGTAGGTCTCTCATAGATGCAAGCCGTGTTGTATGATTGTAAGGCTGCCTACATGCATGTTTGAATGGCAGAGAATCTCCAACAGCCCTTCAACTTTATAGAGAAGAGCTAACAATTCATGTAACAGTGCTAGACAAAAATACATTTCACAGATTTTTTGGTAGTAATTTTTATTCACTTCATGGACAATTAACTCCAAGGAATTTGGTAACAGACAATATTTAAGATGAACTATTGTTTAACATTGTTCATTTCAGGGCCTTTGATAGCTTACTTTGTGGTATGTGTTTTGCTCACTGTTGAAGGCTGTACAGTGACATATAGTTGTTAACTTCTACGTTTTTGGTCTCTTGGTGAGAGTTGTTTCATTGGCAATCATCCACATCTTCTTATTTTATACTGACAAGTATGAATCACTTGATTCATGCAAATGTAATAACTAATCTAGTACCTGTTTTGGTGCTCTACCAATGAAAGTTGATGCATCCAACAGTGTATCAAGGATTTGATGTATTGGTTTAAAATAATTTGTCCTGCGTATTCTTTCCACTAGGTCATTATCCTTCCCTTCTCGTTTGACTACATTTCCTGCTTCCTGAGATAACACACGAATTTGTTCATGACACTCCTACAAAATGAACATCATGATTTATATACGGTCTTTATGTGTGTATAGTACGCAGATTTTTACCCTGGGATAGATTTCTGAGAAGGGGGTGCATATTATGCATGCATACATTGATTTTTAGACTTTTTTTCAGGTACGAAACTCGGCCATGAAACCAGGTGGTCAGGAAGAAAATATTTTCGTAGCAAAACAAAATGATTGTTGTTATGTTTAAAATGTATATTTGTACCTTCTAGTGTATGATTTGTAATGTTATATTCAAATAAAAATCATTTAAATGCTTAAGTAGCTATGTTTTTTTGCGTTTTCGACAGTCTGTTCTATGTTGCCGCCCAGAATTTGTATTTGGTCATATCCGAATTAGAGATGATTCTGTCAATGGCCAAATAAGTGTAGTTGATTCTCGAGTTTATAACGTACTTTTGATATGTTCTAACAAGGAATACAGAAGGTGAATGTATGAAAATTGAATGAAACACGCCCGTTTGAGGATCGTGACCGCCATTGTTTTTTACTTTTGTAGTATCAGGTGAGCACATGTCATGTGACTTTAACATTATGAAGTTGAATAAAGTGATGATTTTATACGTTTTTACTTTGTGACATTTTAAAATCCTCTTTAAAAACCTTCATACAAATCATAAATTGTAAGCATGTTTTTAAAATGCCATTTCAATACCTGTACTAATTTGATTGAGGAACAAAGTGAACCTGTCAATTGATTTGTTTTGACAATGATTAGAATTCCTAATCGATTATCAATAAGAGTGTGATAATCTGGATTTAACGATTCAATGAGTACCAACAAACAATAAATGAAATTAGCAGAGATGAATATTTATTTTAGCACTACTTTATCAACATTAACATTACAATTTATTTATTTATTGTGTAAATAAGAATATTCGTAAGAATTCGTATTCTGTACAAGATTCACCGACTACGATTTGCATTTAAACAACTTCCCGATTTAACACTTCCTGTTGTTCTCAATCAAACACATAAGTGGAAACAATAAAGAATAAAACATCGTTTACTAAGTTATTTATTCTGCAACAACCTTTCATTATCCTGTAATTAACCAGGACTGGAGTTCAATTTGTCTCCGAAAAAGAAATCATTTTTTAATGACACATTTTACCGAGTTTCAAGTTGAGATTTTTTCAGAAAGTCCCTGCGAGTAAAGCATAAGAAGAAACTTTTTTTCTCAAGTTTCAAGGGTGAAAAGAGGGATGCATACTATATATGGGTGCGTTTTATACATACCAAAAGACGGTAACTATTAATTTGCAATCAAAGGGAACATACAGGACTGGTGATACCTATTTTCATAGATGTCCACAAACATGGAAGAGTCTTAAGGGACTGTACTGACCTTGATTCTACCAGAGAAGAAATAATGCAAATTTTTCCGTTAATTATCTTGAATGATTTCTAAACAGTATAGAGCTGTACTTAAAAATTTATTCTAAAACATATTTAAACTCTGAACATTAGTTAATCTGGTAGGGACTGAGTATTGACCAAATTAACCCTAGTTTCGTCAGCAAAACTGTACTAAGAGTTAACTGTTTCTTTAATCTTTTTACTAAAAAACATTTTATGAAATACATTTCAAGCAGTTTTTGGGAAAGATTCATTTTTTGGAGTAACTTTTTATCCTTTTCATTTTAGCTATTCTCAACTTTTCTAATATAAATCTGTAATACCTATTGAAATGCATTTGACACATTTCTGAAATAACCCTGCCCTAATATTGAGACCACACATTTGGGAAGCTTTTTTCTTTTATAAAACTCTTCTATATATTAAGCAACATCATAATTTGTAAACCCTGGACATATTATACACTTATTTACTGGCTATCAGGACAATAGCAAGTTTATTGTTCCCTGAGACACAAACTACTTCACTACGCGAAGTCATTAATAAAACTCTACGGAAACACATTGCTTACGTCATAAACACGGCTAATTACTTACAGTGTTTCCTGTAAAAAGACTATTAACCGGTTAATAGTCTTTTTGAAGGAAAATGTTGGCTTCCAGTAAATAGTTCATATCCAGTAAATAGTTTTTGAAACTATTAACCGGTAAATAATCTCTTTCAGACAATTTTGTAAAATTAGTAAAATTATTGATCTATAATTTTATAAAGAAAATACATACTGAGGTAAAATAAATATATATATACCTGTCTGTCACCTCCAGCTTTGACCATGGCCATAATTATGTTTTCTGTTGCCATAAAAGGAAGCTCTTGGTTAACTCTTCTCTCTATTACCTACAATATAAATCCTTAAACGTATAATGGTCAAATTCTAGTTACCACAAAAAAATCAGTCTTTCTCAAATATAATTTTAAAATTTCAGTTTGTTGGAAATATTTTCTTTCACATGATAACCAAAACCGAATTTTTAGACTTCAAAATCCCCTTATTAGCATAGAAAAGCAGCTCATTAGCATGTTGTTATTATGGGTTCAAGGAACAGTTATAATACTTGCAACATATGACCTCTATAGACAAAAAGACAGGTTAATGCACAAGTAAACCTTGTTTAACCATTTTTTTGCCTTTACAAAGTCAGGCTATCTGGACCATTTAGTCTTTGTTTGCACCTGTATTTTTTCAGAGGAATTTAGTGTTGGTGGTTGTGGGCTTTTGTTATGTCCAATATTTTTGGTAATTAAATATTATTCTTTTATAATTTAATTTTGGATGTAATGCTTCTTCTGATTGGCTGAGAGAATTTTGTTTATCAGCTCATAGACATAATTTTTTCATGTGACCTTGACGTCATCAACGTTTTTTTCATGATTTACTCTTTAAAAATGGAATTTAGAATTAAATTATAAGAAATGACTGTTAATATTTTTTCTGTCTATTCGAAATAACATAAAAAATGTGGTGCACACTTTAAAATAACCCGCTACGCAGGTTATTCAGTGTGCACCACATTTTTTATGTTATTTCTTCATAGACAGAAAAAATATTACAGTCATTCCTTAAATGTTTTATGACTTAATCCAATAAATAAAAGATATTTCCAATTATCAGATCATGGATGTCATATTTTGTTATTATGTACTATCAATCGACAAGTTTTATTTTATAATGAATTTCTTTTTATTTGCACATGAACATAATAGTAAGTTATACACCTTTTATGCATAATATAATATATAGGCAGAAGATATACAACGTATTACAAAAACACAGCTAAAAAATAGTTTGATACATTGCAGAATATGATTGCAAGACAAAGGCGGCTTAGATAGTTAGTACATATTTTCAATTTATACAACATATGGTGTCTGTTGTTTATCTTTGTTGTTATGATAATAAGGGAGTCCAGGGGATCCAGTAGTTCTCTGCCCTACTGAGTCTTGTATTCTTATAAAACATATATTTTTCTATTAGTAAGTTTTCTTTTAACGCTGTCATATTGGTTTCAATCAACAAGTTTGTCTATAATTTATTTAGACTTATTTGTGAAAAAAAAAGGTTACTGTTTTCTCCACCTTGCATCCAATGTTATTACTCTTTGTTGAATTCTTTTAAAATTGTTTGCTGTGACCCATGAAAATTTATTTCCAAGGAATAAAAATTAATCCACAGAATTATCATATTTCCTCCCGTAAATCCAGTATTTAGTAAACACTGTCATTAAGTCCTTACCAGAAGTAAGAAAAAACCTGATCTGATCTGGAAGGTCAGACACAACAAGAATCATTCAGAATTACTCCTAGCAATAAAAACTTTTTTTAGTAAATGTAAAAAAAAAAAGGGTCTGCAAACTTGCAATATGCAAAAAGTGTAATAGATTCTCCAATAGGAATAACAGAAATGAGGAATATGAATTCTGGAATCATTCTGGTAAATATAACAGTACAAAACCCTCTGACATAATTTTAGTGTTTTTTTAAAATACCTTAGGATATACCACAAGTCCATCTGATATATTATGTAGTGTTCCCATTAATATATCAGCTGTGAGAAAAGCCTCAGCTAAACATATTCTCCTGTAAAAAAATAACACGATTTAAAATAATAACACAGTTTACAAACAACAGCAGTTTATTTTCGTAGCTTTCAAGTTTTAACGCCTTGGTGCCCTGGCAGGTGAAACTAATTAGCCAAGCCTGGAAAAAGCAAACAATTTTTAGAAACACTTTTAAACAAAAATTTGTTCCCTTTCTTTGCCTAAAACACAGTATTCAAGAATTCATCCAAAATTACTGAAAAAGAAATATGTAGCAAAATCTTGTAATGCCATTAGTATACATTTGAACCCTGAAATAGTTTCATTTGTATAATATATTTGGAATTTCATTTAGAAATAGAACTGTTAATATTGAGATATATTGTCTGCTCTGTAGACGCACCATAAACAGAGATAATTTGATGAACCGACATAAATATAGCATGACCAGAATATTTTTTTCAAATATTTCCCAATATTGTGTTTCAGATAAATTATTTTCCAGAATAGAATTAAGATTTGTGAAAATAGCACTCATCTTGCCTTTTAAAAATGTCTATCAGAAACATTGAATTTAAATCTAAATGGAATATTACCCATTATTATGCTGATATGGAGACAAAATTGTCAAATATTTAAAATAAGTACACAATGTACTTTTCTTTTAATACTTCTACCATTGTCCATTTGTAATACTGTAAGATGACAGTAGGGAAACCCTGTGATGATGATATTTTATATATGTATTTTACTTTCTTTTTCAGATTGTTTGATCAAACATCAATAAAAGTTGAATTTAATTTTGAATTGGTTTTGATTCATTATAAAGATATATAAATAAATTTTAAATAAACAAACCTATTAGCACTATCATCTAATGTTCTCTCCATCCATTGTGTGGAGTGTGTCATTAATGGATCTTGGACTAAACACATTATATGTCTAGCTAAGGAACAGCATCTCTCACTTCTCATTGGATTTCTTTTGTATGGCATAGCACTGGATCCTAAAAAAAATAGAATATTCATTGAGAAAAAATAAAAAATATTGTCCACACAATATGCAGTTGGGTAAATAATTATACACATCGTATATATCATACTGTTTGTGGTTTACATACAAAATTGTCAAAGTGTAAAATAATGCATAAATTTTTTTTTTCTAAACCCTGAGAAAAAGATACTGCATTCACTGAATACAAAAGCACAGCTAGTATGAGACACAATAATTATCTTTCATAGCAACAAAATTGTTGCACAAACACATTTATGTGTATTCTAAACATTTGAATTTCTATTTTCCGGATATTAAATTTGCTATATCTCAGAAAGTATAAAAGTTATATATATAATGTTTTCAATGTTCATGTGCAGTTCCTCATGTACTAGTTACATCCAAAATTTCATAAAATTATGTGAGATCATCCAATTTAAGTAGTTGTTACTTTATAAAGAAATTCAATTCTTTGGTTTGTTTATTTTCAAAGTCACTTTATAATAAAGATTTTTACTGATTTTTACTAAGTATCATTATCATGTGCGTCTTTTGTTTCAATTGCTACAACTTCTCTTTCAGCATTTTCAATTGATTGGTTTAGTTTAACTTCAGTTTCTGTTCTATCTTCTAGTTTCTTTTGTTGAACACTAACTTGATTTTATTAATCTAGACTGCCCACTCAAATCAGAGTTCATTTCACTGGCACAGCCATGTGCTTTTTCAACGAAACATGTGCATTACTGTACAATTGATAATCAGTAACATTAAATGCTTCAGATCTGGATACCAGTTAAATATGGGAATGTGTATATTTATCATGTTTATATACATTTTGGGGTTTCACAAAACTTACTTGTGTTTTGGATAAGATTGAGTACGGAAAAATAGTTGCATTAACCAGAAATTAGAAAAAAGGGTTGTGAAATTTTATCAATCATAATTGTCATTTTACCAGTCCTAATACATATATTTTTTTAACATGACAGCAGGACTGACACAAGGGTAAGGCTGTAGGACCTTTTTCAAATTTCATGACCAATATGCACAGGACCAACAATTTTCCACATCTCTATAGCATGATCCAAAGACATATAGAGTAGATGTCAGACTCGTGGAATAAGTATATAAGCCCTGTGAAAAAGATCAAAGCAGACGGATCGTATAATACTATACAAATTAAAGGGAAAATTCGCGATTTTTTACTTTTCATCTTATTATGTTCATAATACCATAAAAAACATATTTACCAAGTTTTATCTGGATATGAACACTAATAAAGAAGAAAATTGGGAATTAATAATTTAATTTATTCCAACTTCCTGACTTATGTGACGTAGTTTAAGTCTTTTTGCATGCCGGGAGTGAATAAATCTCGTTGTAAGTCTTGTTCGTTAATCATCTAATAACGCGATTTAAAGCGCATCGACGACTTTTGGCGTAGCTATTAACCAACTAATAATTAAGAAAGTAAAGTGATCCGCCGTGCAACTTTCAAAATTAAAATGTACAATTTATATTTAAAGGATTTCTGATATGATTATAGTAATAAAAGTAAATCATACAATAGAATATATTTTCATGAATTTTTTTTCCGACGGATATTTTGAACAAATATATATATAACTGATATTGTTTTACAAATGCATGTTTGTATTCTCACCTGAAGGCTTTTACTTCAGTCGAGTACTGTGTAAATACAATGTATATTGAACTGTGACACTAAGTGACCACCTGTTGAATGCGTGGTTAAATTCAAGGTAATTAAAAGATTAGCATTCTGTAATTCTATTCTTTTGATCTTCACTCGGTGAATTTTAGCCAACACGGTTCACCGTTACAGGTGTGAACAACATTTCGTATGAATGATAAAAACATTAATTATTTGGGGAGGAATATGGTGGCAAAATACCTGAATCGCCGTTATATACATGTATATCTTTTATATTTTGCGTAAGCTTAATTTTAAAATAGATAGGTGAGTATTTTGTTGTAACATCGAAATTCTGAATTACTTTCAATTAAATAATTTTACAAATAAAAATGGCCCACGAAAACGAGCGTATAAACCAAACACTGTACTTACTTTTTCAAATTATCATGGGTATTAACCGTGAATATTTCAATGTTTAGAGAAAATTATCGCGGTTACATGATTAATATAGCTTGGTCCGTCCACAGCGATCTACATTTACCTAATCGGGAATGCCCTTATTAAAATATTTAAAATCTCACAACGTATACATACTTTAGCTATTTGACCAACGATGTTTAAAAAAAATAACAGAATCAATCTAACGTCAACTTTCCTTTTTTGAATGGAGACAGACCGGAGGAATCAATTTTCAATGTGCTTTATATCTTGTACCTTTGCAAGACTTATCATTCATTCATAAACCCACTTTATACCAGAGACATATATGTCAGTCTTAACTGACAAGAATACACCTAAAGCGGACAAGCAGTATTTTCTTTAAGTTTCTGTGATTTAATACCAAGAAAGAAAAAAATCCCGAAATTAATTTGATACTTTGATACTCAATATTTTTCCTGGAAAATATTCATATCCTCGTTTGGTCTGAAAATAAGATAAGAATTTGGTATACAGAACATGCAGAAGTGTGAATGTCATAAAACCTTGTTATATCAGAAACCATTATAAATGTGAACCTGTATACGTAAGGCCTCATGGGACGTCACCTAACCACATACAGGTAATATACAAGTAGCTCTGTTATACCCGGAAATGTCAAGGTAAATCACTACCGATACAGAATGTACCAATGCAAAGAAAATTCTGATGATTGTGAAGCATGACCATTCATGATTTTAGAGGAGTCTTAGGTGGAAATTGCCGGTACGATTTAAATTCTGACTATATTGTTTTCTCTTAATTTAAATCACTGAACTTAAAAAAAAAGAAACATACGCCCAAGATCAGAATTATTCATGTAAATTCATAAATACAACGTTCTTATTTTGTAACTTTCGATATACTTCACCCCCAACCACCGCCCCCTCCCAACCTGGGAACAGTATATCTAACATAACAATGTTTGTGTACCTGCCCAAATAAAAAAAAAAGATGAAAAAAGAAAGAGATGAACGGTAAGTCACATCAGATTCAAATATTTATATGGTTGATTGTCGTTAACTAGAGATGTAAAGTTACATGTCTCTGCGTTAACTTATAAGAATGACAGGAAAGTATATACTTGAAATAGATTTATGATGAATAATATGCAACTGCAGCACCCCTTTTTATCAAAGTGTACATGCATGTATTTTAATGACTGTCCGTTATTTCGATTAAGAATGACAAGTGTACGTGAAATTCTATAGTTACCAGTGAGACTTTTTTTTTACCAGATATGCGACTTTTCGTATTTATATTTTCTCTTATATTAATCTCATTTAATATTTTATGCATAAGTGCAATATTAGGAATGGTTTATCCCCCATCCCTATTAAGCTAACTAAATAAATTAATCAACCTTCTAGCTGACCAGACGTTAACACATCTACTATCAGTCAATTCGGAGTGAAGTTTCTTTATTTCTTCATATAAGCTTTTTGGGGATCATTAGTGTACGTCCAGTGGCATATATATTACATGCATGTCGGAACAGGAAAATTGACATGAGGTATAATAGAACCATGTTCACATTATTACATTATTATATATAATACACAACCATTGAGATGATGACGACTTTCTTAAACTGTTCAAAATAATCTTATGGAAATAAAAATCTGTGATTTTACTATGTGCATAACTTTGATGAACCAAAGCAAGTTAGATATACATAAATAAAATAAATAAAATAAATAAAATAAATAAAATAAATAAAATAAATAAAATAAATAAAATAAATAAAATAAATAAATAATTATTTTATTATAGTGTCACATATTTGATCAAACAATATATATATACAACAATTCATAATAAAAACAGAGATCAAATATCCAGCCTTAGAATAGACTTATGAGACACTTAGATATCGACCTGTATTTAAATCAGATTGGTTTTGGATGTTTCTTTCGTATATTCAATATACATGTATATATTCTAAATTGCGAATATCTATAGTTCCGTAACCGCCTATCTAGGCGTATAATCCAATGATCGACAAGTGCGTACATTTTGTTAAATCAATATTTGTACGTTTCAAAATGTCCACAATTATTGACAACGAGTAATTACTTACATTTTCCCCAATTTACGTTTGGAAAATATGTAAATATATTTTTATTTTATCAAATCTTTTTTTGGAATTATTTAGATTTTCATAAATGTTCTTTACACCATAAATGTTATTTATAAACAAGCGTATGAGTTTAGTCATATATATAATGGCTATTATATCTATGGTTTAGTAAAGACTAGCATATCACTATCGGACACGCAAGACAAAGATGTATATTCACCTGATAGTTTCAAAATGGAAAGTTACAAGTTATCGGCCGTGTACACTTCTCAATACCCTCAGAGGTGAAGTGATGCACGAACTTGCTTTATGTAATTGTGTAATAAGAGTTTAAAAGCCCGACAGGAAATTGCTTGAATAGCTGGACGTGTCAACTCACAATACCTCTGGGAACAACTCCTTTAGCAATGCTGGTGATCAGATAAGGGAAGGTCCGAATTTATTTAAATAAGATTATTACATAAATGAATTATGAACACACTAGATTTCCGAAAACATTTTTACACGGAACACTTAATTTATCACTTTGAACTTTTTAACTAATTTCCATTAACATTTCTTGTTTCAAAAACTTAGTAAAAAAAACCAGTTTCAAAACGACAGACCATAGTAATAGCTATTCAAAAAAAATTATATATAATTACATTTTCCGTATCAAGTTAGTTAGGAAAGGTTGCATGCACAACCATGTCTATTATAATCTTTTTTTGTGACCCGGGAAACTGTTTAGGCTTTCCTTGTCGGGTAAAACAACCGTACGCTTGACAAGATATCGACACTCAATTACGGCTACGTTAGGTTACTGCTTGTTTTGGTCCTTTGTGGTTTATAGATATATCGTGGTTTCTATTCAGGGATGATGTCAAAATGGCCGCACGCGGAGAAGTGATACTCTAAATTTAAAATCGATGGTGATCTCTTATCTAGCAGAATTAAACTTTAATATTTATGAATTTGTGGTTTTTTATACATAATAAACATAATATCAATTTTTCATTTTTTTGCGAAGTTTCCCTTTAAGATCCTTATACCCTGTTCAAATTAAGTAAAAACTGAATGTAAAGTTCTATTTATTTGCTATTACATAAAAACAGAAACTGCTTTAAAAATTACCTATTTGATCCTTTTCAAATGGTTCTTCCATCTCTTTAAAATTAGCCAGCAATCGTATATCTGTACATATCTATAAAACAAGTAATGATCTTGTGAAAAACTGTAGTAATGTTTCACAAATTTGTGATATAACATGTGGATATACAGTCCAAGTCAGTCATACCAGAGAATTAGTTTGAGATACCCTTAGTTCAACTCAAACGAATACTGGAAGTTTGAAGACAAAGGGACACAATTCTTGCTTAGCTTGGTAAGACTAATTTAAATCCAGATGAATATGGGTAGGGGATCGATATTCTGGTCTGAGATCAATATATCTGTATTTAATGGCCTTTTATTACTATAATAAAATTAAATGATTTTTTCATCTCTTATTTATTTTTTTGCACAGTTACAATTTTTTCCTATGGTTTTTAACCAAGAGAGTAATTTCCGATCTATCTTAGCGAGATTTAAAGTTGACAAAATTGTTCATTCTCGTATACAAGAGATTTAAGAAAATTAAGATGCCTTTTCACTTTCTTTTATTTCAATCTTTTAATGCAAGAGAAAATACAAAAAGATTAAAGACGATGATTGATTAGTTCTGTTGACCACTTAAGTCTTAATCCTTACTTTATGCACAACCAAACTCACTAATGTATGATAACAGTTAATTGTTTTTAAAACGATTTTAATAATTTTTCATAAATTATAACAATATATAGTGGCCTTCATCTTTGATCAATTGACCCTAAAAACAATAAGCTTCTTTTCCTTCCCTTTATCTTACATTTGTAAAAGCTTCATTCCAATCAAAAATGAATCAGCTAAAATATATTATGGACATATGATCCTAGACAAGCTAGAGCAGCTAAACATACCATATGGACAGACAGCCCTAGACTAGCTAGAGCTGCTAAACATACCTTAAGGACAGACAGCCCTAGACTAGCTAGAGCTGCTAAACATGCCTTATGGACAAATGATCCTAGACTAGCTAGAGCAGCTAAACATACCTTCTGGACAGAGGGCCCTAGACTAGCTAGAGATGCTAAACATACCTTATGGACAGACAGCCCTAGACTAGCTAGAGCAGTAAAACATACCTTATGGACAGATTACCGTAGACTAGCTAGAGCAGTAATACATACCTTATGGATAAATGATCATAGTCTAGCTGGAGCAGTTAAACATACCTTACGGAAAATTGATCATAGTTTAGCTAGAGCTGCTAAACATACCTTATGGACAGATGACCTTAAACTAGCTAGAGCAGTAAAACATGCCTTATGGACAAGAGCAGTTAAAACCCTTTATGAATAAAAGAACAGAGTTCCAATATCCCCACATTGCACATATTTTATATTTCCAAGGGGCATAACTCTTTAAAAAAGTCGATCGTCCACCATTATAAAACTTGTCAGAGATATTGCTGATATTGACCTACCCTATAGTATAAGTTCTATAAAAATCTGGCCAAAATTGTACCCATGAGAAACTTACGAGGCCATTTTCCATAAATTTAATATTTCCAAGGGGCATAACTCTTTAAAAAAAAGTCGATCGTCCACCATTATAAAACTTGTCCAAGATATTACTGATATTAACTTATAGTACAAGTTTTATAAAAATCTGGCAAGAACTGTACCAGGAGAGTGCTAACAAGGCCATTTTCCATAAATTTAATATTTCCAAGAGGCATAACTCTTAAAAAAAAAATCAAATGTCCACCATTATATAACTTGTCGTAGATATTGCTGATATTAACCTTCTTCTTCTTCTTCCAAGTAAGGAACCGAATTCATATTGAATGTGTATGGTCCCGCATAGTATAAGTTTTATAAAAATCTGGCAAGAATTGCACACGTGAGAGCGCTAACAAGGTGTCTGTCTGTCCGGTATTTCCACGTTCCCCGCAACGAGTTAAGCAGGGGACAAAAATGATCCTAGACTAGCAAGAGCAGTTACAACTTTATGGACAAATGAGATTTGACTAGCTATAGCGGTTCAACATACCTTATGGACAGATGATCCTAGACTAGCTAGAGCAGCTAAACAATCTACATCAACTTTTCGACTATATGTCTGTCCACATATAAGGAAATATCTACAATTTAAAATTGTACATCAATTATGTGATAGAAAATTTAGCTTGGAGTTATATATACCAACTGTTTTTCATTATTTGTTAATTATCTAAATCTTACTGTTCTTTGTCTATGTACAGATCATAATATATCTGAAGTGTAAAGTATGAACAAAATGTAAAAAAATATGTAAAAAGAAATTTTAATCAAAAATGGAATTTTATGCTATTTAAATGTTTCTTTAATCAAAGTTTAAATAAAACTTCAGTTCATTTATCAATGGTTCCATTTTACAATTTAAAATTTGATAAATTACTAGTTAAATTTCATCTATATTGTTTCAAACAAATGGTGTATTAAGCTTTGATATTAAAGCATGCACTGGTTATGGAGAATCAAATGATTGCCTTGCAATTGAGTACTCATGAATCATACCATTTTTTAACTTCTTTCCTACATTTTTGTTATTGACCTTAAAATTGGACCCTCATACAATGTTATCTCTGAATGCCATCCTAAGATGCTTGTACAAAATTCATAGAATCACTCTTTTAAGATTACTAGTGTTCAATTAATTACAAAAAAAATATTTAAATTTCAAATCTATATTTAAAGTACAAATTTTGGTTCCATTATTCATTAAACTCAGTAGTATTTCACCGTAATAGCCTCATTTGTTGTAGTATATTCTGTGAAAGTTAAATTAAACAGCACCCTCTGAAAAAATGGAACAGTACAGAAGGCCTTCAACTGATTTTGCACCTAAAAATCGAAAGGTGGCATTGAATTGGATAAGAGCTGGATTCTGGCATATCAAAGAAAACAAGTAAAAAGCTGGCACTGCCAACTGATTCTGGAACTGCACATTTATTGAGAGAAAACATTCTTATTTCAAGGGTTCAAAATACTGGTTCCCTATTTATTTTTCATCTGTATAAGAGTTGACTTTGAACTAGCTGTCAGTAACTATGAGTACTCTCAGATCTGTACTCAAGTGTCTTTTTTGTGGTGGGGGATTTATAAATACCGGTACCCTGCCACATCCGGTCTGTGTTTTTGTATTTTGTTTTTCTCCTTTGTATCGATCTGATGAGTTAAGCCCTTTTAAACAGATTTTTATGGTTTGTTTATATGTTGTGCAGTGACACCACTGACCCAGGTTAGGTTGGGCACCCGTAAACTTGTTTAACCCTGCCAATAGGCTTCCTCCCCTTCCTATATCTTTCATCTGTATAACATGTTTTTTTATTAATCAAGTTACCATCTTGAAACCAATTTTTCCAAAATAAATACAATTTTAGTGACAAGTGACCTGGACCTTCAACCTATTAACTGTAACCCCAAATTCGACAGGCATCCTTCCTGTACTGGTATGTTCCATTTCTTTAATCTTTCTTTCAAATCAAGCAAGGGATACTTAAGTTATCATCCTGAAACCATTTGTTTCAGGGACACAGTGGACTGACACAGCAATTACTATTTGTTTTTTTGTGGGACATAAAAACTGTTACAAATGTAGCAGTGAGCTAATATGCACTCAGCCCTTAGATCAAAAGGAAACACATATGTAAGTCTCGTTACTTCAGCAAAAATAGTAATCCTATCTATTTTAAGGAACAAAATAGTGTTGCAGCATTACAAAAGCCATGAAGCATTAAATTTTGCACCTGATCTATATCATACTTCAATCATAACGTCAAATTAATAATGTTAAATAGCTAAATAATCAGTGTTCTCCCAGACCAATATGACAATCAAATTTATGGATGCCTTCCTTTCAAATTATATGTCAGATGTGGATTTCATCTTCACACTTAGAAATTTGTATCTTAATTATTAATGGTTTCTGATGAAAAATTTCCAGCATTTAATATATAAAATATTAGAAAATAAATTATTTTTTGTCAATTTTTTTCCTGCCTTAAAAATGCTAGAATGAGAGCAGTTTCAATAAGAAATATGACATGAAAAGAGTCAATATGACATTTATTTGAAATATTAACATGATTAAGAGCAGATATTGTTATCCAAGCAAAAAAGTTACCCGAAGCCATGAAGATGTCTTGATTTTTTGTGTCATTAGTATTCCTTTAATCTTCTTTTGTTAATATTATGCCAGAGTTCAACATCAATTTTTTGTAGATGGGCAAGTGAACATGGTATTTGAATAGTTTGAAAGAGAAAACCACTTGTCCAACTTTTGTACTTGTTTAAGAAATTTCTAAACTGTAGTCATGGACACAAAATCATTTCATTATGTTAAGATTTTCTTATCCAAATCTATGGGAAACAAAAACGATACATTTGGCTAAGAAAATTCCCATAATTGGCCTGTATTTTCAAAAAGGCTCTAGTTAGAAATGAAAAATATGATCTATTAAAACTAAGGTAATTTGTTGATATTGTCAGGACTGACTGATATGAAAATTTATTGATAAAATGAGAAATAATTGAGGCTAGATTCAGTATTTTTCACTGTTTTTAATTTTAATGCTTAATTTCTCATCGGACATGTTTACTGCAGCTTTTACTTGATAGGTACAGATATATTTTACAAACTACTAATAAAAGTTGTAGGGTATATATATATATATATATATATTAGACAGCAACCCGACGGCACAAAACACCAAGTGATATCTATAGGTCAACATAATGTCTTCAATAATAGACGTCTTCATACCATATGTAACGCTCTAAATATCAGGACCACTGGCAATCCAGGCCTTCAACTGAAATTCCTTATCATGCTTATAATCTATACTATTTCAATAGGATTTACTGTCAAACAACTCAGAAAGTATATTATTTCTTCTGAAATGGTTGTTTTTATATATGTAGCAAAAGTCGTTCTTCTGTTTAACAACAGCCTGGCCAAGACTTACTTCTGAAACCCTGCCATCTCTGTGACTAGTTTATCTAATTCTTCAACCTGTAATATATACTTCAAATTAGTATAAATAAATGGGGAATGTGTCCATCAGACACAGATGATGCCCCTGCTTGCATATAACGTTATAAAGGGACATAACTCAAGAACTGTAAAAGTGACGCTACCCAAATTTGTACTAGATCTGAGTTTTGTGGTAATAAGCATTGTGTATACGTTTCATATCATTTAGTTGAGGCAAACTTAAGTTAGAGAACTGAAACAAATAATTCAACAATTTTTCCATTAGTAAAGGTGCATAACTCTAGAACGGTAAAAGTGCTGGCACCAAAATTCGAACTTGATCTGTTTTTTGTGGTAATTAGCACTGTGCATAAGTTTCGTAACATTTGGTTGAGGCAAACTAAAGTTAGAGAATGGAAACCAATTTTGGGACGTACGTATGTACTTGCAGACGGACAACATGGACAAGGGTAAAACTTAATGCCCCCTCCGCTATGGCGGGGCATAAACATGAGATGTTGTATGATTGCCAATGATATATAGCAATTATAGGCCACTATATGGCCTTCAACATTCTGTTTTAATGTAACATAACAGCATTTCCTAGTTTCATGATTTGATGGCACATTTTTAGCATCTAAAAATACCCTTCCTGCTACGTGCCAATCTAATAAGTCAAGCCATTTCCAACTGGTTGTTACAGTTTGTTCCTTTTATACCACTGTCCCAGGTTAGGATGGATTGAGTGCTAACAAACATGTTAAACTCCAACGCATGTTATATGACAGGAGCCTGTAATTCAGTGGTGGTTGTTGTCTGTCATATTTGTTTATCATTTATTATTTGTAAAAAATCAGGCTTTTTGGTTGTTTGTTTGATTTATTTTTTTTGCAATTTTGAGATATTTTATAGCTGACTAAACAATACAGGTTTTACATATTCCCCATTTCCATTCTCAATTTTATTTTTTACAGAGTTTGTCTTTAGTGCCGTGTGGAGACAGTAGAGTGCCTCCCCATGCTTCAGGTTTATGCTCTTATAATATACTAGTTAATGGAGTGTGTGTCCGAGCGAGAACATCTCTATGTTCATTACTTTAGGAATATTTATTTAAAACACAGTATTCACTATTCAGCCCCATTCTACTATTAAGTCAGACGTCAGGTGCTACCTTGATATACCCTGTCTTTTGTTTTTTGTCCTCAAGTTTTGTTGTTAACGTATTTTGTCGGGTACTTGATGACGGATAGCGTTTGACGTCTTTAGCCGAACAGTTTTATCATTTTAACTTTGTTATATTATCTGCTCTTTGGTCAGGTTGTTGTCTCTTTGACATATTCCCCTTTTCCATTCTCAATTTTATTTACACATCATTGAAGGCCTTATGATGACCTATAGTTTAATATTTATATCCACTTCTATTGGACTCTGTTGGACATTTCAATAGCAATCATACTACATGATATGAACTCCTTGTTTTATTTAAATTCCAGATGTACAAGGGTAACTATATGCCCCTATAGCCTCTCATTTACATATATATATATATATATAGATATTTGATATTTGCTGTATTATCCATATAGCATATTGTTTGTTATCTACATGGATTATTTATATATATATGCTATTGGAAAATTGAACGTTAAATAAATTTATAAAGAGCAATAATTAATCAAATAGGAAATATAATATTAATCCCAATCATATCAGTCTGATACCTTATCATCATCTCCTTCAAACAACTGTAGAAAGCTTGCCTGGGTCCCTGTTGTACCCTTAACACCACGAAAACGTAAATTATCTCTGGCGGTTTCCAAATTTTTAAGATCCATTAGCAGATCTTGAATCCAAATACAGGCTCTCTTACCAACTGTTGACAACTGTGCTGGTCTGTTGATAATATAAACCATTAGAATTAATAACTTTATATACTGGTAATAAATTTAAACAGTACCAACTGCAGCAAATATCAAAACAAAACTTATATAACTGATGAATCGATATTTACTGGTTTAAAACAGCAGATAAAGAATTTATGGTTTAGCAAACATAAAATAAAATTCAATTCTATCTAAAAATCACACACACATAGAGTTAGCTTAAGAATATTAAATATTCAGCTCCTTTAGCTTTCTACTGTGAATGCCTGACAGAGTCACAACTTTTTCCAAGATTATCATAAATAGTATTAATGTTTGCTTTATGCAGAAAATAATAAACAATTCAGTTCAAAACACAATTGCTTGTGATTTAACTAAGTAGCTATAAGGTTCAAGTGCCTGAACTGGTCATCTGGTAAATACATTTATTGAGTCAATCATGTTTAAAATGATTATATGACAAAAACGAAAGCTTAATTTTTACTGTGTATTAATATTTGGTGAGATTGGTGATTGGAATGTAATCAGATAAAAAGACAACTTTAACCACATTTAAAACTTTATTTTCGGGATGAAAATATATTAACAATAAATACAGAGACTGTACAAAAATCATAAACTCAAATCTGATTATATTCGATGGAAGTATTTATGTACAATACAGCATACAAAATTGCAAGTTTTGAAATTTTGTAAAGTATAGCAGAGAATTAATAAAAACATATAAACGAAAGTATCCATATTGTAAATGTCATTGAAATATATTAGGAACTTACTGTAAATGTGTATATGATAGACAAGGAAGATCTTTATACTTGCGAGCAAAGCTTGATAAACTCTGTATACATCTGGCTAACTGAAAATAAAACAAGTTCTGCATGTTTTATTCATTTCTCTTATCTAATTTCTACAGTAATTTTCTTTCAAGATGTTTGCATGCATCAAATAGCTTCTATAGTAAAGTTAAAAATATTGATTTTAATGAAATGATTATATAAAATAAAAGTACCTCAGTGGTTACTTTCACAAAAACATCTCTCCTTCAAAATTGATCGTAATTTTAACTAAAATGTTCATGACTAACAATATAAAAACAAGCATTCTGAGAGTATTGCATGGCAATACATAGTCCCCTACCGGTTAAAAATTAATTGTACTGGAACAAAATGCTAACTTGATCTATAACTTGTCATGGTGTAAACTATATAACAAATATCAAGTTAATATCTTCAAGCATGACGAAAAAAGTGTGGAAATCTGATAATTTAAGTGAATTTTTCTAGGTCCAAGGACCATAACTCTGCACAAAATCATCAAACCAAAACAAAATTTGAACTTGATCTGTAGCTTGTCATGATGAAACTATATACCAATTATCAAATCAATATCTTCAAGCATGACGAAAAAAAGTGCAGAAAACTGATTATTTGAGTGAATTTTTTAAGTCCAAGGACCATAACTCTGCACAAAATCATCAGACCAGAACAAAATTCAAACTCGATCTGTAACTTGTCATGATAAAACAATGTACCAATTATTAAATCAATATCTTCAAGAATGACGAAAAAAATGCGGAAAATTGAATATTTGAGTGAATTTTCTAAGTCCAAGGACCATAACTCTGCACCAAATTATCAGACCGGAACAAAATTCGAACTTGATCTGTAACTTGTCATGATAAAACAATATACCAAATATCAAATCAATATCTTCAAGCATGAAGAAAAAAAGTGTGGAAAACTGATTTGCCGGACTGACAGAAGGACAGACAGACAGACGGATGGAGTGCAAATCTAAAGTCCCCTTCGACTTCGTCGGTAGGGGACTAATAAGGAGAATTGGTCAATGAGACAATTATACACCACAGCCCAAATAACTTAAGTGTAAGCAACAATAGGGTACTATACAACCTCCAATGATGGACAAAACCCATACAACATAGTCTGCTATAAAAGGTCCCACCATGACAAAATGTAAGACAATTCAAACGAGAAAACCAATGTCCTGATTTATGACAAAACAACAATAAAATAGAAAACGGAAACGAAAAATTCAGCAATTTTTATGTTTATAAAGGGACATAACTCTAGAATGGTAAAAGTGTCGCCACCAAATTTCGTACTTAATCTGTGTTATGTAGTAATAAGCATTGTGTATAAGTTTCATAACATTTGGTTGAGGCAAACTAAAGTTAGAAAACAGAAACAAAAAATTTGTACTTGATCTTAGTTTTGTGGTAATGAATATTGTGTATAGGTTTCATAATGTTTGGTTGGGGCAAACTTCAGTTACAGAATGGAATCTAAAAATTTTGTTTCTATTTATAAAGGGGCATAACTCAATAATGGTTAAAGTGACACTACCCAAATTCAACTTGACTTGTGTTTTATCAGTGGAAGTCAAAATTAAACATTGCATTGTATAAAGCATTGATTGTAGTTGATTCAATTATGATAATTATGTACAAAGAAAGATAACTCCAATTTTAAAAATTACTTGATATTTAGAAGAAAATAAAAATTTTGCAATTTTTCCATTTATAAAGGGGCATAACTCTAGAACGGTTCAAGTGACGCCACCAAAATTCAAACTTGATCTGTGTTTTGTGGTAATAAGCATTGTGTATAAGTTTCATAACATTTGCTTGATGCAAACTCAAGTTAGAAAACGGAAACCAATTTTGGGACGTACGTAGGTATGTACAGACGGACAAGGGTAAAACTTAATGCCCTAACCGTTACGGCGGGGGCATAAAAAATATGACATACAGCAACCAACGACAACCACTGAATTATAGACTCCTGACCTGGGAATTTCGAACTTTTTTCTATAGATGATCTTTTTTTTTTTTTAATCTTGAAGAAACTTCTGTCCAAGTTTCATAGCATTCCATGAGTGTTTTAAAAAAGTTATTGATGTCTATTAAGTTGGCTATATATGTAAATGCTTACTGCGAAAAACTAAGTCTTTAGAGTTTAGAAGGTAGATCTCGACATTCTGAATATTTCTGCCCTTGTCAGATTTTCTTTATCTATATCAGTTTTCAGATATTACAAACCCCTATGTTCTATTTTTAGCCATGTCCACCAGGTTGTTTGGTATGCAGAATCATTGGACATATATATGATTAAAGCTAAATACCCCAATAATGATTTTGGCCAAGATTGTTCCACTTGGCTCAGTAGTTTCAGAGGAGAAGATTTTTGTACAATAAAAGTAAATGGACAATGCTGACAACCCACAACAAACGCCAAGTACTTCTTTGGGTTGGGTGAGCTAAAAAAATTATTATATCAGACTAAGTAGACATAGTATCTTATAATGGGTCTGTAAAAACTAGAGAGCCAGAATCTTAATTTAGTTTCAAACTATTAAATTCATACTGGACGTCATGACATAAAGGAACCTCTATCAACAGTTTTGCTGTAGAACTAAATGAAATTTCATACCTGTTTTTGATATGTGGAATGCAACAGTTTAGAACTGAAATCATTTTTTAATAACTTAAAACTGCAAATTCGGATTTACAATACAAATTTTTCTTCTGGCTATCAAATGGCACTTCATCAGCGTTTTTTGAAAAGTATTTTAATGTGAATAATTGTTATTTTAATAGTGTATTTATCAAAATATTGATGCACATTTTACAATAAAGTGTCTAATAATGTACTTATCAAAAAGAGGGTGACACATGCATCCTTGCAAAATGCTTAATAATTATCAGCATGTTCGACAGAGCCTGAACTTATCTTTATTTATGATATGGTATAGAAAGCTTAAATTTTTAAATCTGAATTATCGATAACCTTTGCTAAAAAGTTATTTAATATGAAAGTATATCATCTGTACTTGGTCAGTTTTTTCTGCTATCAGGTAAACATGATAAGCGAGCATTCATCTGATATTTCTGGGAGCATTAAACAGTCAGAGGGCTCTACGGATAATCATACAATACCGAGTGGCAGTTGAATTACCGCCAAAGAATTTGTAACTTGTAACTATAAATGCAATATCTTACAAAAGCCTTAAAGGGTGTTGATAATGTGTCCGAACATGGTAAATTTTTATTTATTATTGTATTTTATTGTATTGTATCATTAAAAAAAATTCTTGACCTTAATCCCAAAATACATTTCCATCAGACCTTATAGAATTGGTCATGACTGGAAAATATGACAGTTTCTGGACCCTTGTATCTGATTAGATATCACTTATATGGACTTTTGGCAAAAAAAAGCTTACATTCTAAACTAGATCATGATAGTGAAGACAGTCTGAACTACATCTTACCTTAATGACCTTTGACAATATGGTCAATTCAGTATAAAGTACCTGTATATCTTACCTTTGGTAGAAGAATATCAAATCCATCTCTCATGACTATTAAGTCCTTTAATAAAAAAAGAATTTTTTTTTATTTTTTTGTAGAGATCAAAATTGTAATCAACAAAACTTCTATTTACTATTGAGAATTCAACCACAACCTATGTCATACTCATAGCAAGCTGCAACAACTCTACCAAATGAGTTAAAGGAACCTTATAATGCATACATTCTGTTTCAAGGAAGTTGACATTTGGAATATGCTACAGTTTATATGTCATAATAGAGACCAATGACCGAATATCATATAATGTTTAAAACTAGAATGCACATATTGTCATGCTAAGCATATATATCCCAACTTTTATTTCAAAGTTTTGGCAAACAGGAAGTGTCTCATCATTGTCAAGCTGCTGACCAACTGTTCAGTATTTGCTGAGAAATAAGTGAAGAAAATATTTGTTCTATTGAACAAATTAATGGACAAAAGAATGAAAGGATGGACAAGGTGATTGCAAAATACTTAAATAGTCCTAAATCCTAGAGCATGAAGAGTGGTGGTATAATAATATGTGTCTGTTATACATCTATATACACATGTAAATACCACAACACTAATTTAACTAGATATTACATACATACTGTGTTATCTCCAACAAATGCTGATGTAGCACCAAGATGTATAATGCCTGATGCTCTAGGACAGGCTTTTGCAAATGTGTGTACATGTGCCATCACATCATGCCGTACTCGTTTCTCCTCAAAAGCAGCTCTTTCAAAATCAATACAGTGAATATTTTCTTCCATATCCTTAATCTGGTCATCTGTTATGTCCAAACCAAGTGCCTTCAATAAAAGGAAAATATTAAATTCAAACTTGATGTAGATTCTTGTTGAACCCAAAATTCCCAAAATTTATCAAAGGCTGTCAGGGTTTAAGACAGACAAACTGCAACAATTCATCAAACAGACTACAAATAAAAGGGCATGTTTTGTGGTGCTAAACATACCCCCAGGTGCCCCACTAGTAATTCACAGTATTGGAAAATGGTAAGAAGTGTCTGCACAGTCTGCCAAATCTGAAAAGTGCTTTAACATTACAATTTATCACTGTCAAGATACTGACCAAATATGAAGTCATTCTGTTTGATAGTATTATGGATGTGAAATGTAAAAATAAGAATGCTAAACTTTCCTGACAAAAGGGGTGAGAACTTGAGAAAAGCCTTTGTTGAAACAATAAAGAGTGACTTAAATGTAGATATTGAGCCCTGTGATGTATGTGCTAGCCATCCACAGAAAACCTGGAAAAGAAGGTTATCAGAAGCCTGTTATTGTGAAGGTTAAGAATACTGAGACTGGAGTAAGAATACTTCAATAGTGTGTTTCCAGGAAACTCTTAGTAATAAGACATTGAAAAATACTGGGAGGATGAATGAGGAAGTAAATGCTTTTTCAGTCACAAAGACAGTTAAAGTGCAGGTGTACCTGTTATGTTTAAAAAAAGGTCTGGATTTTGTGGTAAATAATTCTGTTATTGATGATAATGGTCATAATTTATGGATACATATAATATCAAACATAATAGTTAAATAGAAACCCTAACCATGCTAACTCCTGTAAAAAAAATTGATGAAATCATTGAAGTTTTTGAATCCTTGGCGTACATGCTATCCAGAAGATAGGAAATATACATGGCGTCAGTCCTCACCCATAAAGCAGTCGTCTTGATAATTTTTTAATTTCAGAAGACCTTTTTTCCCTTATGAAAAATACTATAATTATACCAGGTTATCATGTATAGAACTGACCACTCTGCAATTCTTTTTGCCTTCTCAGCTTGTTTCGAGAAACGGGGGAAAAGTAACTGGAAATTTAACTCTCAGTTACATAGAGATGCAGATTATATACAAAGGGTTAAATCTTGCATTAAGGATACTACTTTGGAATATCCTCTGTCAGGTGATATGGAAGATCTTCTTTCTGTGGAGTTGTCATGCAATGATCAAACATTTTTTGAAATATTGAAAATGAAGATTAGATCTTTGTCCATAAATTACAGCATAAATAAATCCAAGGAGGAAAAAAACTTCACTCTCAAACTTGAAAATGATATTTTACATTTAGAAAGTATTATGAATCATTCTCCAAATGATGAGGTTCAAAAATCTTTATTTGAAAAAAAACTTGAACTAGAAAATTGATGACAAGAGATAGTTGAAGGCTTGCTGCTTAGATCCTGTGCTATTTAAACTGGCATGAGAGTGGTGAAAAGCGTTCAAAATATTTTTGTAAATTAGAAAAGAAAAATTTCATAAAGAACACATAACAGAACTTATAGTTGAAAGAGGTCAGCATATATATTTCAGAGCAATCAAAAATTCTGATGGAACAACAAAATTTCTATAGAAATTTGTACTCAAGCAAAAAATTAGATTGCAATGATACATTATTCTTTAATCATAACATTAAGCTCACAGAAGAACAAAGTGACTTTTGTGACGGAAATTCAACTTTTAAAGAATGTGCTGATTCATTAAAGGGGCACTAGCTACGAGATATATAAAAAATATAAAATAAGATTTTTTTTGTTCAATCAATAATGAAAGTGAAATAGTGAAATAATATATCGCTTTTTTAAAAGCAGCCAGTATGGTTCAATTTTGTCAAAATAGGCTAAGAAACATTGATGATGAATTATTCACTTGCAAGTGAATAATTCGACCTCATTGAATCCGTATTCATGTGAACTTCAATTTGACCCCTTAGCTAGAGATGGATACCCCATGCTTTGTGTGTGTTCAATTATTTAAATGAAAAGAATGTCAACATTGAAAGTGATCATGAACAAAGGCAAATCATTTGATTGACTGATTCGATCCACAAAAAAATCATTCTTTAACAGGTAAAAACGATGATTAACATATATTTTTAATCTATAATATGAAATTAAACAGACTTAGAAAAATCCAAATGCACGAGTCTGATATCTATTTATATCTATATTTATGTTTATATCGCTTATATGGCAATCGGAGGTGTTCGGAGGTCAACTTGACAGTTAATTAGATGGCGTCTAGACTAAAATACACACGAAACAAAGCTACATATTATCGAGCCCATGCCCGGTATATTGTTTATTTTAGACTTTTTATAATTTGGATAAATGTTTTACATTGTTATAAATCAAATATGAGAATTTGAGTCAAATCGGTGAACATGAATTTGACAGCTAGTGCCCCTTTAAAATTTATGACAAATGGTAAAAGTCCAGGTTCTGATGGGTACACTGTAAACTTTTATCAATTTTTTGGAAAGATATTGGTCCTTTAGTCTTTTGGTCTCTTCATTTTGGATATGAGGGTGGAAAATATTTAGATTTTCAGTATCAAAGTGTAATAACTTGCATTCCTAAAGAGGGAAAAGACAGACAATATATGTAAATAACTGGCATCCTATTAGTCTTTTGAATACTGATGTGAAAATATCTTTTGCTGTTATAGCTAAAAGACTTAAACCAGTTTCACCATTTATCATAAGTGATACACAAAAAGGTTTCTTCAAAGATAGATTTATGTGTGAGAATACACAACTTTTATATGATTTAATGCACTATCTTGAGGAAAATAAAACAGGTCTTTTATTACTTGAAAAGGTGTTGATTCCTTAGAAAAGTTATTTTTTTTAAATTCTTTAAAAAAATTTAATATTTGGCCTTCGATATGTAAATGGTTTGAAACTTTATACTCAGGGGCATCAAGTTGCGATATAAATATTGGACACGTCTAAGTTTTTTCATTTAGAAAGAGGTTGCAGACATGGAGATCCTCTTTCTCCCTATTTATTCATAATTGGTGTTGAATTACTATCTTTGAAATTAAAAGGTAATCCTGATATAAGGGGAATTACTGTCGATGAGAATGAATCACTTTTAAGCCAGTATGCAGACAACACATTCCTTATGTTGGATGGAATGGAAATATCGTTGAGGGAAACACTTTCATGTTTTGAATCTTTTTATTAAATTTTAGGTTTGAAAAAAAAATGCTTCAAAGTTAAAAGCACTATAGGTTGGAAGTAAAAAGTATTCCGATCTTATTCTATGCCCTGACTTAAAACTTCATTGGTCACATTCAAATTTTAAGCTTTGGGGATTGAATTTTCTTAAGATTTGAACTGTATCACAGAAATTAATTTTGCCAAAAAAATTAAAGAGGTCTCTGTAATTCTGAAGAGCTGGCAACATTGTAAACTCACGTTATTGGGGAAAATTGCAGTAATCAAATCACTTGCTCATTCAAAATTGGTACACTTAATGACTGCATTGCCAAACCTATCACACTCCAGGTTAACAGAGCTCTCTTCATTATATTATGATTTTATATGGAATGGAAAACCGCACAGAATTAAGTGTAACACACTTATTGGTGATATTTCATAATGTGGACTTTTTATGGTACATCTTCATTCCTTTAATATCTATTTTAAAATCAGTTGGATAAAAAGACTGCTGTCAAACCCTGGTGGTGGCTAGCAGCACTTGTTACTGGCAGACCTTATACTGTATAGGGGTGAAAGGGTTTTACATCTACAGAAAGAAAAGCTGATTGAGATTTCTAAAAGATGTAAAATATCTTTCTGGAAGGATGTTTTATTATGCTTTTCTATTGCAAAACCTAATACTGAGATTTCTGTCAGTGACATTTTATCCTTAGGTAGTTTGAACTTTTCCTCTTTGGATGATTCCCCTTATTATATTCAATTGAAAAAGGGAGGTGTGCAGTCAGTAAGTGACCTTATTAATCATGAAAATATGATTTTTTTATAAATTTGAGCAATTTCAAGAAAGAGTACAAATCAACAATTCTATCAAATATTATGGTCTGATTTCAAAAATACCTAACTATATATATAAACTACGAGAAAATGGCTTAAATAGGACTGTTTAAATCAATTAAATCATGATTTGAATAAGTCTAACATTGGTGATACTTTCTTAAAGAAAATTATGTGTAATGTCAAAGCCAAATTTGTATATAAAAACTTAGATGTAGTTATTCAACTACCAACAATCAAATTTTTGAAATGGGAAGAACTGTTGGTGATTGATACAACAGAATGGTCAGAATATTCATGATAACCAAAAAGTCTTGTAGAGATGTTTATTTAAGAACCTTTTAATACAAATTTTACATAGAATTATAACAACTAATACCTTTTTGTACAAAATAAAATTAAAAGATACCAAGTTATGTACTTTTTGTAAACTTGGTGAAGAAACCATTGAACCCCTTTTTTAATGCCCAATAACTTTTCAATTGTGGCAGTCTTTTTCAAAAACTGTGAAACTTTTTTTAGTAAACTTTGTTCTCAACAAAGAGGATGTGTTTCTTGGTTTGTTATTGAATCTGTTAGTCATAATAACAAAGAATTATATATATATTTATTATTTATGCATTCTAATTTTCAATTCTCAAAATAATGAAAATGTAACTTTTCTTTCAATGCATATATAAAAATAATAAGTTATTTTTCAATCTGTTTTAACCAACATGGCAGTACAAATGTTACATCAAGTATACATGATAGGTACTTCAATTAAATATTGTGTGCTTACCACAGCACTATCTAAATTCCTGGGGAGAACACTGCAAAGTAATGACTAACCGGAAGTGTCTGACAGATATGAAAAAGTCTCACACATTACAACTCAAGACTGACATGCTACTGACCAAATATTAAGTCATTCTGTTTAGTACTGAGGAAGATGTGACAGAAATATTTGTTGGACTAACAGACTGACAAGTATAATCCCAGCAAACACACAATGTAAACATAGTTATGGTAACATTAAAGTTAGGCTACATCTACGTGTAACATAAGTAAAACGTAAAAAATAAAGGTTATTTAGTAACCTATATTTAACATTATGATTATTACGTCACAATTGTTATGTTGTACTCATGTAAATATTATAATTATGTTATGATATTAAAGTTTGTAATGGAACGAATTTATAATGTGAAATTTATACCATAGTGCAACGTCTAAATACCGTTATTGGTAAACGTTAATTCATAACATTTATATAATATTAAATTGACATAATAATTTAACTTTTGAATACCTTTAGAATAGAATAACATTGCATTAATTAATGTCTTTTTGTTTGATGAGATGCAATACAGCCCCAACTCTTTAGAGTGGAAATATAATAATTTGGGGAAAAGAATCTGTTAGTAACAGGCTATTATTTCAACTTGGAATTATTTTTAATTATGGAATTTGAATAATTTCTTGTGCTTGAAATTTTTGATAAATTCCATGTTTATTCTGTATTTCAATGTTCTGTGTGATGCACAACACTTTCTATTACAAAGAAAATAGCACATTTTCAATAGAATGTACTGTGCGGCGCACAACACTATCTATACAAAATACATTGTATGGAAAGTGTTATGCACCGTTCAAAACATTATAATACAGAATAAACATGGAATTTATCAAAAATTCCAAGCACAATAAATTATGCAAATTCCATAATTAAAAATAATTCCAAGTTGTGATAATAGCATGTTTAGTGTTAAATATAGAAGAGTAACTATTTTCCATTAAATTGATCCAGATTACACTTATCCTATCTGGTATTTGCACAAACAAAATCTTATCCGAGAAAATTGTGGCTGTAAATTATAAATTGTTTTAATACTTTTAGCATCTCTAAGTTACCACATACTTATCATTAAGGCTTAATCACCATTGCATCAAAATATTGGATCAGATGTTATTTGGACTTTTGGACCAGTCAATGGTGATCATTTTTTAACCAACAGCATAATTGTCAGGCTATGAAGTAGTTTGGAATATTTTAGCTGTAAACTGTAAACTCTTATAGCACAAAAAAATCAACACAAGACCTGCACATTCCTAATCCTTATCAAGAATTAGAATCATCCTGTGTTAGTTGTTTTTGTGACTCATACCGATCTTATAGGTTCAGCCATAGGCAACAGTTTGTTCTTATGTTGTGCTGTAATTATACACCACTATCCTAGGTTAAGGGGTAGGTTGAGTGCTCACAAACAAGTTTAACTCCACCACATTCTGTATGTGCCTTTCCAAAGTCAGGAGCCTGTAGTATACTAGTTATAAATCCAAATGCAGGAATCACCAACAGACTTGCCAACTATCCCAATTTACGGGGGATATCCCCCATGGGAGGTGTCGACCTGAATTTTGAAATCTTTATTATCTAAACTGAACACCTCAAAACAGGCACTCAAATGAGTTAAAAGCATATTAAAGCACATACATACTCATTCAAACAATAAGTATTAGAATTAAAACACTTATCAGCTTATGACAATATAAGAGGAGCATTAGGTCCTCATGCACTTAAAATCTCCCATGGCTTCTGGTTGCATGTGATAAAATCTGGTAATAATTGTTAACTTAAAGATGTATATAGTTCAAACCTGCAATTAACCAATGGATTTGGGAAAAAGATTGAACAGCTACTTGCTACATTAAATTTTTCACATGTTTGGGAAAATCATGATACTATTTCAAAAAGGCGTTTATTATATGCACTTCATACCAAACTTAATGATAGATATCTGAATTATTGGAAAGAAAATATATTTTGTGATGATAAATCATTGCACGGTAATAAGCTCAGAACATATAGGCAGCTTAAAGAAAATTACAAATTGGAAACCTATTTATTGTTAAATATTGACAGAAAAGTAATAGGACATTTTGCCAAGATTCGCATAAGTAATAGTGTTCTTGAAATTGAACAAGGACGACACACTAAAACACCTGTAGAAGAAAGAATTTGTCCCTTGTGTCTTTAAGAAGTAGAAGATGAATTTCATTTTACTATAATATGTACAAAACTAAATACAATTAGAGAACAATTATTTTCCAAAATTAGTGAAATAGTTCCTTCTTTTTTAAATATGACTAATGAAGCAAGATTTAAATTTTTGATAATGCAAATGCGTGAGATTTGGCCAAAATCGTAAAGATCAAAGAGAAAAAACAATAGATCAAAGGAAAATGCCGCCAAATAAGCATGAACATGCGCGAGTCTCACGATAAATGCGTGAGACTTGGCAGCCCTGACATGGTGCTTATGAATTTTACAATAATTTTAATTATATCAGTCTCACCACATTTTCCTTTGATCTATTGTTTTTTTCAAAAGTTGGCAGAACTGCCATGTATAATTCTAGAAATGCTTTATTGAGTACTTAATAACTTTGTGGTACCACCTCCTCAGCAGAGATTATATACATTCATTTATTATTGTAACAATATTTTCTTGTAATAATGGAGGGGATATACAGTTATAAATATATATAATGTTTATAATGTGGTCAGATTTTGTTTGTATGTTTATGTATTGTCTTGGTAACAATCCTATAATTTTGGATTTTGAACCAATAAAATTATCTTATCTATCTTCGGTGCATCAAATTGTTTAGCTATGTCCCATGGAGACTTAGAAAAAATGGCAGGTATGCACCAAGTCTGAGGGCAGCATATTGTAAAATTGTAATGTTAACATTTTAAAAATATTATCATTGTGGTGTGTTTGCAGTCCATGTTTCAGATTTAGCGAGACAAGCATGTTGGTGAGTGGGGAGTATTGAACTCGTTTTTTAAATGGTACGAGAGTGTTATCAGTGGGGGCGAGTTGGTGGTGAGTGAATTTTTCCGTGGGACGATTTGACTTGAATTTCCTGTCATGTTCATACCTTTTCCCCCTTAGCGAGCCATGTCCATAATTCTCTCCAAGTGGAAAACTTTTTCATGTCGCTATAGTTGAAGGCCATTTCAGGACTAGCATACCTTGACACTAGAGGTGTTCTATATTTTTTAAATTCAAAAGGGATATCTTGAAGGATTTCCCCCGCCATTAGACTGGTTCCCGATCGCAATAATCAGGGTTACACTAATGACAGGACGATTGCCCGGATAGTACGATTGACCGGATGAGATATAAATAGTCAGAACTTTTTTGTTATTCGGTAGATTTTTTTAATATTTGTAGACCTTGGAGATATTAAACTATATTTTATGAAAATCAAACAAAAAAAGTGAAAAATTTTTTTTTGAGCAAATAAAGTTGACCGGACGGATTTCACACTCGCCGATGTACGCTATACATATATTCAACAGGTTGACAACAAGTGTTAATATCTCATTTGTTTTACAATATTTGTTCATGAAATTAAGGAATCTGTGAGAATAATAAATATATTATTCGAAAATATAAACTTTATAGTAAAAAAAAATGTTTTTTTCTGCAAAAAAAGATTGTACTAGACCGACACGCAGAGTTGGATTTTTTACGGCGAGCTAGTTCGCAAGGTAATAGTCAACAGGAAGACATGCACCTTAGCCGGACACAATATTGAGGGTGTGAATGGGGGTTTACAGAATAGAGAATAATGGGCAAAAAATATAAAGAATAGAGAAAAATGGACCAAAAAAATAAAGAATAGAGAATAATAAGCAAAAAGTATAAAGAATAGAGAAAAATGACCCAAACAATTATGAAAATAAAGAATACATGCAGAAATGAACGACCCCCATTCAGACCCTAATCATCCTAATTATATCCTAATTAGTCGACCAGTCTGTGTTTGGACTTATGCTTAACGGAGCAGCAAACTCCAATTTTCAAGTCTTTGGTAAACTCTGTCGTGATCAAAACCACGACCTCCCGCACTCGTGGCGAGTACGCTGCGGCACGTGATCACCGAGGCGGTCTCTTGGCCAAGTCCAAAGAATATAACACTGAAATCGGAACGAACTGTTTGAGGCATATGAATGCACAAACACTGGACTCTAAGCTTAAATATCTCTAATAAATATGGTGTCAAAACTGTTTATCCGTATTCTAAAATTGAACGCATAATAGAATATAATAAGTCGATACTTGCTTCTCTTTAAAAGATCCGCTAATCCAGAGACACATCTATATCTCTGGCTAAACGTTGTCGATGATCCTGTTTTATTTTCACCACATGTGAAATATTACGATCATGATGGAAGTTATTTGAAACTGTGGCTCATAAGTATCGTTCACAGTCTTCCTCTGTCAAAGGAATGCAATATGTTTTACAAAATCCATGAGCCAACTGATAGCAGCAATATGGCGTTGTAACTATTCTCATTCCGCTTCCAAATATAAAATTGAGAATGGAAATGGGGAATGTGCCAAAATGACAACAACCCGACCACCAATGGGTCTTCAACACAGTGAGAAAATCCCGCACCCGGAGGCGGGCTTCGGCTGGCCCCTAACAATGTGTACTAGTTCAATGAAAATGGACGTCACACTAAACTTAAAAACATATAAATGAACTAAATTTAAATGCATGCATACACATGTCACATAGACAATATATATATATATCAAAATGGTTTTTTAATTTAAATTTTAAAACCAAGTATTTATATATATGATACATAACACTAGTATGTGCAGTGGTATGGCACGACCTGTGACATGTATACGTAATATGCAGTGGAAGATCCTTCGAATGTTGCAGTGGATATATCACTTTCGAATCATTCTTGGATTGACGACACACATAATATTCACATGATTAGGTTCAGGAAGGTTATTCCAACTAGTTATTGTTTTGATTTTTTTTTATTATTATCTTTTATTCATATGACTGTCATACAAGTGAGAGGTTAAGCTAGCTATAAAACCAGGTTTAATCCACCATTTTCTACAGTAATGCCTGTACCAAGTCAGGAATATGATAGTTGTTTTCCATTCGTTTGATGTGTTTGAAACTTTTATTTATAATATAATAATAACAGATTAATTTATAAAAGAGCCACTCTAAAAAGAGTTATTAGAGACTGTAAAACACACATTTAAAAACATTTACATTACATATATAACATATATCAATATATCTTAGCATAAAACACCATAATATTAAAAAGCAATTCCTTTATAATCATAATCAGAAGATAAAAACAAAACACTACATACAGTTATTACGAATATACACTTTCTCTTAAAAAGTACTGCATGGCAGATTTTGGCTGTGAAATGGCAAACTCTGTCGTTATTAAAAATAAATAAAAACTTTTCCTCATTACACAAATTATTAAAACTACTTTCTACATTACATACACTGTTAAAAAAGATCGTTCGCAAATCTGCATATTCTGTATATAACAACACATGTTTTTCATCTTCAATTACATCCAAATGAATTTTACATCGCGATGACCTTGAGGTCATTCCGATGTATTGCTATCGCCTAGATTTCCATTATGTAAATTAGTTTTGGGTTTGTAACCGATCTATAAACATGATAAATATGCGCACATAAACGAGTGCAAAATAACATTCCTTATCGCTTGATATAAATACATCTCTTCAATGAATACTGATAAAAATATTTTTGTTTACAACATAAATTAATAATATGAAAATGTTTTGTAGTTAGATATACATATATAAGTAAAAAATCATTGATAATATCAATGCACACGTACCGAAAAATTGTGTTAAAGCATGCAGAAGAATATCTCAAAGAACGTTTTGCAAGGACCGGTAACTCTGTAATTGTTTTTGCGGGAAAATATGAATGCCTACTCGTATCCAATCTTAGAAAAATCGAAGTTTTACAGAAAAGTGTCCACCATGCACTTGCATTGCACTATTATTAGAATAGTAGAATAGAATGATATACAAATGGATGCAAATCATATATATATGTAACTGTTATTTTAATATAATATATAACAACAAATCAGTGTATACTGATTTGTATCACTGCAATATAATAGTTATTACGGTGAAGTTGAATTTCCTGTCATTTATTCATCATCCACGCACGAACTTGTCTCAGAAAAAAATACATCTCTGTACATTAATCTCAGTTTCAGGTAAAGAGATATGTTGTTTTTTTCTGAGACAAGTGCGTTTGACCATCCTCAAGAACTTGTGGTCATCCGATGTTCAGTACTTCAATACTTTGATTTTCTACAATTAAAACAAACCTTTCATTTACATCTATACCTTCATATCTGCCAGTTTCAATTCAAATTGGAGCAACACCTGCTCTAAATTTAGCATAATGCACTTCTGTATTTACCCGGTATACAGTAGTAATACTTAAATATTTTTCTGTACAATAATTTGATTGAAATAACCTGTAAGAACACAATTTACTGCTTTAATTGACTAGTAAATTTGAATGCCATTTGTTCTTGTACATAATAAAAAGGTTGCTTTCAATATCTTTAATAACAGACTTGCTCAAAATACATTCAACATTACAATACTGATTAAGATCAAGTTCTTTAAACTTTGTATTCACTGTACAGTTCCAAGTTTTTACTTTATCAAAACTGAGATTATTACTCCAAAGAAAAAAATTCTTATTAAGTCTATAATCAGACATCTTATGTTCTAAATTATGGAAGGGAATATCCGCCATAATTATACATTTTTTAATTTGTAAAATGCAATTTCTTAATTTGTAAAACGAATAATTTCTTAATTTGTAATATATATTTTTTCCATCCGTTATATGAATTTCTACAATTCTTGATTTGTGAAATGTAACTTCTTAATGTGTAAATGCAATTTCTTAATTTGTAAACGTATTTTCTTCTTTCGTTACATGAAATTCTACATTTCTTATTTTGTGAAATGTAATTTCTTTGTTTCAGTCACGTTTTGGGAGAATGTGTCAGTGTATTTGTTACCGCTGTCAGCCAATGAGAAGTTTCGTTTCTTAAGAAAAACTACAAGTTACAAATCAAGAAGTTACAAATCAAGAAATTTTACAAATCAAGACTGAAATAGTTCCACAAATATGCCGCACGAGGTCGCTGTGGGTCCATTTCAAATCGTACCTTAGCCAACTCGTTCTCAATATATACCTAAATATGGTAGACCATTTTTTAACAATACATGGTTTCCATCCCATATCTCCATAAAGTGTTAAGTTAGGGTAATATCTACCCACATCTATAATAAATATCATAGCTTTATGTTTAACAACCTTTATACAAGAAAATTCCTTCGTACCCCAGATGGAAGCACCATAATTAATCACTAACCATACAATTGAATTGAACAGTTTTGTGTATACCTGGGACTATATTATATTAGTATAATAGCCCCAGTGTATACATCATATTGAAAACCACCATGAGCTTTACATTTTGTTATTAATAACCCCAATACCATAATGGCAGATTTAGCAACTACTTTTGCCATATCTTCACAACTCAAAACTTTTCTACCTCAGGAATAGATTACCTTAGCTGTATTTGGCAAAACTTTTAGGAATTTTTGGTCCTCAATGCTCTTCAACTTAAAAATACTTTATTTGGCCTTTTTAACTTTGTTTGATTCGAGCGTCACTGATGAGTCTTTTGTAGACGAAACGCGCGTCTGGCGCAAATACAAAATTTCAATCCTGGTATCTATGATGAGTTTTTTTTACATAACTTTTTGTTTGTTTATTTGACCTCATAAAGTATTGCAGACATCAACATTAATACAGCGGACATTAAGGCAAGTACAATCTTTTCACCTGTATTATTGGTGCAGACGTACATTTTTTTTATATCTTGATGGGTCGCTCCCTTTACCTCAGTGACATATGCCTACAAGGTCAGTTACCGGAGTTTCGACGGTGTCTGATGGTGCCTTTCCTCAGACCCTTTCCGTACGTTTTTATAGATATTAAGGCGGTACAATAGATATACGAAGATGTGGTATGAGTGCCAATGAGACAACTCTCCATCCAAGTCAAAATTTATAAAAGTAAACCATTATAGGTCACAGTACGGTCTTCAACACGGAGCCTTGGCTCACACCGAACAGTAAGCTATAAAGGGCCCCAAAAAATTACTAGTGTAAAACCATTCAAACAAGAAAACCAACGGTCTAATCTATATAAAAAACGAGAAACGAGAAACACTTATGAACCACATCAACAAACGACAACTACTGAACATCAGATTCCTGACTTAGGACAGGTGCAAACAAATGCAGCAGTTTAAACGTTTTAATGGTACCAAACCTTCACCCTTTTTCTGAAACAATAGTGTAACATCACAACATAGAAAGACACACTATAAAATATCAACTGAAATAGCTTAACTCAATCAAAGGACATATTAACACCATTGAACATACACTGAACAAATAAATTTGACCTATGACACAATGTAAATACAAAATAAATGTATTCTTACTATATCTACGCAGTAGCGCACACTGTATCTAGGCCTGTTAATTCGTCTAGTACTATGAATTGTATCCCGGGTTCACATAAGGATCTAAATCTTCCAGACTCTAGACCATATGTTAAATCAATGATTATATCACCCTAATTCAAAGCTCTGATTCATTGTTCTTGACTATTCACCTTAGGTCCTTTTTGGTTTAATCAGCTCTTCAACGTTTGTATCTGGTTTTTATTTTCAAATATTTGGCCTCGTGCATCACTGACATTAATTGTCGAAATACACATTCAGTCGTCATGGTCTACACCTTCTTGACCAAATCCTTTCTATTTGCGGGGTATTCATCTATAACAGCAACCGTTTCCTAGTTTTTGGTCTATTGGGACATGGATGAACATGTTTTTTCCCGCAATAACTACTACCTCAGAGTTCCTATTGGTAGTTCTGCTATTGTTACTGCTACTACAACAGTTTCAATTGCTCCAGTTCGGTTAATTTAAGCATTTGATAATACCTCTGTTACTTCTGAAGCCCCTCCACTTGCATTGGTCTTCGTGATTTAAGGAATGTGCAATTCTATTTTGGGAAGTCTTTGAAAAAAGATTTCAAGGATCTTTCTAGTCGTATTTCATCTCTAGAAGACAGATCGGCCTCCCCTCAGGCTTCCCCCGTTTCTATTATTTGGAAGATGTTGCGTATGAGGAAGAAGATGATGAAGATATTTGGTTGCTATAGGAAGTCTAGAAAGGACATCCATTGGGAATTGGAAAATAAGATACCTTTAACGTCGAATGCAACGAAGAATGTCACTAAGCCTTCTTTAGCTCGACCATATCTTGAGGATGGATCTCAGAGAAATCCTGAAATTGATGAGGGTCCTTCTCCTTTGAACTCGCAATCAGGTCTACTTTCTCATGAGGGATATAGTAAAGCTTCCGTTTGTCTCTCCTCCATAGACCTAAGAGATTTCATCTACTTTTGAGACCTCTTGTGTTTTTTTCTAGGAATCTAAAAATTCTCATACTTTCTTTCCCCGAGTCCAATCGCATGATTGTTACTCTGCAAATTATCAATGACGTCATCAGTAATTTCGTTAAAAAAGCGACTAACAAATAAATATCTGGGTTCGCCATTACTTATTTCTCGAACCATTTTAGAACTAAATACTATGATAATTTTTAATCTATTATAGAAAGATTGGTTCCTGTCTGCAAAAGGTTTCTTTCTTTTCTGTTGGGCTCTGAGCCTATTTTACGTCTTCGGCTTTCTCACTCATTTTGAACTAACAATGAAAATCTTCATCTTAGTGCTTCTTATATTTGGACAATTCTCTGACCAAAAGGATTTCGGTCGTATACACCTGTACGCTCGGAGGGAATTGACAACCACTCTCTTTATGTCCCTTGATTTTCCCGTTTACTGAAAAATTTCATAGATGATTCCTTCTCAAGATTCTCTCTTCCTCACCTCCCATGGACAAGTGTTTCCCCATGAGGAGAAACCTCTTCATCTTTGTCAGAAAATTCTTCTTTTTCTAATCTTTTACTCAGTGCTTGTGCGTCAATTGTTGCAATTTCTGTGTCTGTTAAATTTTACTGCAGATACAGTTCCTCTGTAACGACTTCATATTTTTCGACTCCAGTTTTATCTTAACAACATTGGATTCCGGCTTCCCATGAATGTTTCGTAATTTTTAAAACTATCTCGGTCATATTACGCACAACTGACATTAAAACAGTAGCACATGCATGCATCATATTTATTCTTATGCTTTTAAATGTTTTATGTCCTTCGATGTCTCACTGTATAAATATTACCTGAAATATGCCAGTAAACCTACCTATCAGAATATTGCAAGTTACGGACTTTGTTCTTACAAGAAAAATTGTTATGAATATGGCGTCATGCCAAATAATACAAACATTCTGAAAGTATTGCAAAGCAATACAACATCACCAACCGGCATTGCAAAGAAAAGTGTTGAACAAAAGTCTGTGTAATGTCCTTTTTCTACGGACCATAACTGCCACAAAGGCCTAAAAATAAAATTTCGTTCCGATACCGGTTTGATAATATGATTGGTAGGTAGCTATAAGCGATATCTATGCCTCAAATGTTTCTTCTTTTAATATATTTTTTAAAATAAAAAACCAATCCCGTTAAAATTAGATGGTTGTTCCCTTTTTTATGTCAAACAGCTGAAACTGAGCCAGTTCACAAACGTTAACATATGTTGACGCCACCAGAAACAACTCTAGATCATTCAACAATCTGCTTGGACGAGACAATAAGCAGTCAGAAAACCTTAAAAAGTAGTCTTAAAGTAGTCTAATCTGCTTCTACCTGTTAATGTTATACAATGTATATCAGACCCCACCATTTTTTAAAGAAATTTCCTTAGCTACATGTATAAAGTAGCCATTAAATTTTGTGAATCTAACAGATTTTAAGATAGGTTCCATTTTGATTTAAAAAATAAGCGGATAATATTCTTATCAACAGTGTGAATTTTGATCCTGTATTACGAAAAGAAATTGCATGTGCTTACAAAATTATGTAACTCACAACACGTTATTTCAGATATATGAGCATTGCACGAAATCGTCATATTATGACACCTAATAACGTTAAGATAATTCTAATGATTAAGAAAATAAGACGAACGTAATATTTACATATTATTTTTTTCAAAATAGTTAATTATGTTTACTTCATGCAACTTATTTTGATCACGATTTCGTGAAAACTTTTTTTTTTCAAAACCGCTAGAATAATATATCACTCAAAATGTAAAACATTTAAATCACAATACATCCCCGGTAAAACTACAAAAAATTATAAACAACAAATAAAAAACCAGGAAATGACATTATAGATATCATTGTCTCATGTCATAATTCTTCCGATTGCAAAACAAAAAATATTGAATATTTGTATTATCACTGCGAGAAAAATGATAACAACTAATCATAGTCACACGTTGCTAAGTGGTTTTCCTAATTGAACATCTTTTCCGTGTATGATATATTCTTGTTATTTCTCCCTTCCCTTATTTAAAAGTGTCTGCGATATTCTGTAGGCATTAAATTCGAGCATTAAAACATATAAAGACATAAAGATATTTTGTCTGCGAGCAGATTTAAGTGTAAGTATTTTTATATTTGTATATTAATTCCCGTTTCTTGTTTCAAACAACACCCAATTAAACTTTTGAATTGGAGATAACTTATAGCAAGTAGAGTTTTTGCTATTCAAAAAAAATAATAAATAAAATAAACGAATGAAGAAATAAGATAACGCTAAACACTGTTTTAATCATGATACCCTGGACCATCGAGTGAAAGCTAATCTTCCTCATAACTACTGCATATCATTTTCATGAAGTCTTACAATATTGTGTGTAATTTTGCTCTGTTTTATTTTGGTCAATTGAAGAACGTTTGATTCTGAATCGAAATTCAATTTGAAATTCATTAGAAACAAGGACAGTCAGTCTGGTTTATCTTATTCATAGTTTCCAGGTGATCAATATAGCTTCCTTATTTACGGGTTATTATAATTACAGCCACGGTAATTGGAAAGAAGGCTAATAGGACATACTAAATGAAATTTTAGGAATAATTTATATTTGGATTATTTCAAATCAGGCAAGCAGTTTCAGCGGAAAATGAATAGATTTTGGAAACAGGCGGCAACAGTCGGAATACAATTAGATTAATGTTGTGATTCTCTTCACAACTAGGGCGGCAGTGGTGAATTGTATTTAATCTACTTTTAAGTAGTGGGATATACAAACTTCTGTCCGACATGAAGCTTTGGGGATTGTACGGGTATTATAATTATCAAGCCATGTCTGATCGGAATAAGGATATCAAGCAGATGCCCAATAATTAAAACGTAGATTGCCTTTTGCAAGTCACAAGAATACGTTTGGCACATTTGACATCGAACGTTTAAATAAATCAATAATCTACTTTTTTCCCTGATAAATACGTATTAGTAATTATATATATGATGTAATACTAGTCCTCAATAATAACTGACAATACCGTAAAACGGTTTTCGAGTCTCAAAAGAATCTCATTTTATAATCTTTTAAATGCTTTCTTATTTTATACAGCCAGAAAATGATTGCTGCTTGGTATACGATACTGATTTTGTTATCAATCATGTACCTCACGATTGCGTTTCCCTGGTACGGTGGAGGTAAGAACAGTTTATTGTGTTATATATATAGGGGTAAATTCAGTAAATAAATATACGTCATCAGGGACCGTCCATTTGGGGGAGAGCTTTCTGTACAAAACTGAAGTCCTGTGCTCTTCTGATTGGTAGATAATGTTTATAATAAATATTTTTTGATAGATGGATCAAAACTAGAGTTAAAAAAATAAAAAAAATGAATGCTGAATGTACTAAATATTTTACTACAGGGTTGAAAAGTAATGGGGGTCAGTAAAGGAATTAAGTGCGAATCTACAGTGATTGTAAACAAGGCCATGTGAATGCCCAAAAATGCCGCATGACCCTATGTTTTTATTGTTGCAAAAGATAGGGCTACATTTGCACTTTCATGAATGATATATGAAAGCTTCCAATTTCTAAAGGTAAATCAGGTATAAATTTAATTCAAGACATAGATTAGCATTAAAGTGAATGGGAGATTTTTTACTGAATTTACCACTATACGTTGTTTTCAATTTGGAGTTGTTTATATTTTTTCGTTTGGACTTGTATTATATATTCCTTCGGGTTTATATGATCCGTTCATCCTATTTCGACTCTTCAAAATTCAAGAGTCTATCCTAAATTGAGGTAAATTATATGGCCTTCCAAATACCGTTTCGATTTCTAACATCACTGAAGAGACATTAATTGTCGAAATCCGGATATGGTGTACAAATTTTTGCACCTCATGTTTGCGGTATACCATCTTTGCGGAATGTTTTACGGACACCACACTTCTACAAAAATATGTTGCTCTCCATTGACTCAAGTTACGTTTCATATCAAAATTACGTTCCTGTTTTTCTGAAAGCTTACAATCATTAAGCATTGCTCGATGCTAACAAAGTCATATTGGTCATTTTGAAATGAATAAGTTTCACTGACTATGGTTCATTAACTGAGTCATTATGAGTCGCTACTCAATCCTTTCGCACTGAAATTAAATTTTACTTTTATAACAATATTAAGGATACCACCGGAACAAGAAGATGCTGCAGATCAGGATTTTTAAATAGACATTGAGAAACTTCTTCAAACTAGAATATGTGACAAATGAGACGTATTTACACTTGTATGCAAATTTGTCCGCCATTACGTGAAATCACACAAGTTCAGGTAAACTTTGACATCATAATTCAAAACATTTGACGTCACAATTAAAAAGTGATTGTTGCCTGACATCAAAAGGTGATTCGGAGTAGATCTAAGGTCATTCGGAGGCAAAATATAGCTAAATACCAAAAGTGTAAATACGTTTATTCCCAACGCCCCCTCTACCCAATCGTTTGTTGGTTACGTATCCCGATTTCACATTATAAAGATTTCATTAGTGGGATCTGCTCCTAAAGCAAAAACATCCTGAAGCAGGGTTTTAAGGAAGAACGACCGAAAACGACACTTCAAAAGTTTACGGTACCCATCAGAAATACATTGACCAAATGCGAAGTGTCTATGTCTTAACCCATGATATATCTTAAAGAAGAATGAAACCAAACTATTATGTTATTGTATACTAAACTATTAATTATTAATAAGGGTATAAAACATCTCTTCTTGTTTTAAGAATGACACATGGGTATCAATTAGGTATATTTGAATAAATCTTTTAAACTTTCCGCCGACAAGGTAACTGTCCAATTTCTCATACATGTGACATCATTACTTTTATTCCGGTTTCGTTCAAAATCAGCATCAACACATCTCACATACCAAAAAAAAAAAAAAATAAATAAACACACACAACTACTTGAGTTTTCATGGACAGAGATTCAGATAAATTAAGGTTAAGTAATGCATTCGAACCATAATATCTGGCTGAGGAAACTTAATCAGAATTCTGTAGCCGAATCAGCATCACAATAATTTGCTGATCGATTCTTAACTTTCGAAGAATGGTGTTATTGTTGAAATGGCCAGTAAATGCAGACATAATTTAGACGATCATCAGACAGAATGACAATTATGAAATGTAATGCTTACTCTGATGTATAATTAAAAAATATTAAGAAATTAAGGTTCCAACTCCCTCAGGCAGAGTTGACCTTAGTCAAATTTGGCTATTCTTTGTATGCCCATTTTGGTCATATATCTTTTAACGTTTCTATATTTATTATGCATTTATACATCCCTGGCTTTTAATTATTTCGTTGTGAGCGGAGGTAAATCCAGAAAGCGTTTCGGACTCGAAAAATTTAAAAAGTGTTATTTTTATTTGTTGAAACGTTAAAACCGGAATGTAAGCTATGGTGCGAAAGCGTGTTTGTGGCTATCGTATATAACATTGAAAAATGTATTCCGTGAATTTATTTTTGAGGCCGACTTCATACAGGACGAAAGAAAGAATTTAGCAGTATCCTTTAACTTTACTTTCCGCTATATAGTTGATGTTCTCTCACTAAATAACTCACAATTTGGTGACTATGTTGAGCGCATCTATCCCATCGAACTTCAGATAAAGCCGGATACAACAGAGTCTGCCTCATATCTTGACTTACATCTAGAAATTGACAATGAGGACCAGTTCAAAACAAAACTTTACGACAAAAGGGATGATTTCAGCTTCCCAATTGTGAACTTTCCATTTCTATATAGCAACATTCCAACAGCGCCTGCATACGGAGTATGCTTCTCACAAGGAAGCTATTAAACCAAGAGTTCCAAGTGATGAAGTTGAAATCATCCCTTTGTAAATTTTACGAACGCCATCACGAGTTGGTTGACCGTTATGGAATATCCGTTTCACAGAATGATAGCGGTTATGTTCCAATTATCGTAACTACAATCCCGTTCCCCTTTCCCCGAACGTGACCTACCGAATTAGACTTATTACCGGGTTTGTACTAACATGAGCAACACGACGGGTGCGACTTGTGGAGCAGGATCTGCTTACCCTTCCGGAGCACCTGAGATCACCCCCAGTTTTTGGTGAGGTTCGTGTTACTCAATCTTTAGTTTTCTATGTTGTGTTTTGTGTACTGTTGTTTGTCTGTTGGTCCTTTTCTTTTTTAGCCATGGCGTTGTCAGTTTATTTTTAACTTATGAGTTTGAATATCCCTTTGGTATCTTTTGCCTCTCTTTTACACATATTTTGCGGGGTTCTTTCCCCCGTGAAGACACCAAATAGGTTGTCCAATTTGTTTTTAATTTACCAATTGTGTCGTATTCCCTATCAGACGTGGCACTTTTATTTAAACCTGGACTAGAATGGCGGGAGATGCATCCATAGCAAGAGAAGTTCTCTGTCGATGTACCCGCATGCTTCGTTTGGAGTTCATGCGTTCTCTTGTATTGTATATCTAATTGGGATTTACGAGTTTTGTACATCGACAAACCAATTTTGCCTCTTATTAAAAAATGCATTAAATTAGATGGACATTAAGATAAGCAATGCGATCAGTGTAACCGTGGATTGCCATAGTAGTATATTTCTTGCGTCTAATTGAGAAACTTGTATTCTGTCTGTGGGTAATCTATATCTTACACAGCTACTTTAGTATACAAGCAATCTTGATATACATCTGCCGAGATGCATATAAGCTGTGCGTTTGTAAAGATGTATATAAAATGTCCATTTGAAGCGATGCATATAAACTGTACATCTGTTGAGATGCTTATAAACTGTACATCTGTTGAGCTGCATATAAATTGACTGTGCATCTGTTAAGGTGTATATAACATGTACATCTTTAAAGATGCATGTGCACTGCACATTTGTAAAGATACATATTAACTGTATATATTCATCTTTATCTTTACAGATACATAGTTTATATACATGTACAGTTTATATGCAGCTTAACAGATGTACAGTGTATATGCATCTTAACCGGTATACTATTTATATGCATCTTACTAAATTTACACCAAGATTGCTTGTACTCAAGTTGCTGTGTAGAATAGATGTATAGTCACAACGTTGATTCCCCCTCTTTTTTCAATTGACATACACATGTTTTGAAGGTTAAAAATTAACATTTTGCCCAAAATAAAATCACTGCTATCAAAGACATACCATACTGAAACGTTATTTCCCTCCTTTTAATAACTTCGTTAATAGAAAAAATGTATATGATATTTTTTTCAACTACTTTCAGGTGGTTATCGGTATGGCGGCCCCCGTGTGCATTATGGGGGATGGCGCAATGGAAATGACGATGACTATGGCTATAATGGATGGGATAATGGATACAACACATAATCATGATAATTAAATATGTTCTCATGCAGTTGGAGTTTTCTTTTTCCAAACTGTTTCAGAAAGTTACCGATGTATCTGTTGTGTTCTAGGTTGCACCATACACTCCAAAATTTGATTAAAACCTTTTAACTATAGCACACTTACCACACAGAAAAGAGCCACATTTCGTTGAGGACTGTTTTCCTAGCTCTTAAATGCATTAACGATGCCTATGTTTAATATGCTAACATTACACAACTGGATTTTTTGTCCTGAAGCCCAGTAGATTCAGAAGAGAGGCGAAAGATACCAAAGAGACATTCAAACTCGTAAATCGAAAACAAACCGATAATGCCATCAAAATATGCCATTAATTACCTCTACTAGAACTTTTAGTTTTTGATGGCTGTCGCGTAGGCAGTACCCAAGCTGATTGTTTCATCAACTGTAGATAACATACTTGTTCTTATTCATTAGGCATTAAAATGTATACAATCCATGCAGGCACGATCAATTTGTCTACTTTGCAAGTTGGTTTTTAATGTCTTTCTTTTTAACATTTTTTAACAGCAGTACAGCACTATTAATGTCGACTTAGTATTGAATTGTTCGAACTCAAAGTTTTTCTACCCTAGACATATATTGCCTTAAGCTATTTGGCACAACCTTTCGGAATTTTCGCCTTTTAATGCTGTTCAATTTCATATTTCATTTGGTCTTCCGACTTCTTAAATTAATTTGAAAGCCATTGATGAGTCTGATGCAGACGAATACTCGCCTGGCATACCAAATTATAAGCGTGGTATCTTTGATATGTTTTTACCTTCAATGTCAGTTAATGATAGTACATACTCTTTACTTTGTACGTGTTCTGTTACATTTCCCCCCTTTGTCACGTTAAATCTTGTCCATATAATACTAATCTTGTAGCAGCTTGGTGAGTAATCAATGACATGTTCACTCCAGGGTCACAAAATGTTGCTTATAATTGGTCGTAACACTGAACTGAACTGATCATTATGTACTCAATTAACTCTTTGTCGTTGATCGCTTGTGTAGAGTTATCAAAAGATATATCATCAATGTGTGCAGAGTGCATTTTCCCACATTTTGATGAAGTTCAATTTGTATCTCACAAGGTATGCGCTTATTCTCATTTCCTTGACAAATGTCCTACCTTCGGGGCAGCTGAATGATCCTACATTTATTTCAACAATTAACTTTCGTATGAATATCAAGTCTCTCAAATATAATACATTTTATGGATATCCGATTTGTGTTACCATTAGCTAACTTTCCCTTTCGTATGTCTAGTTGTTCATGTATTTTTTTTCTTGATCTTGATTGTATCGGTTTATCGGTTGTTTATTTGATACGGCTTGCGCTACCCGGTGTCACACCTTAAACAACCTGTTTGATCACTTGCTGGTTCTCTTGTAATTGAACATTTAAAGGATCTACAACCACCTCTTTCTCATTTTCTTCATGTCCTAACTCATTTTCTGCAAGGGTTGTATGCATCTTTCCTTTCGTTGTTCCGTATTCACATAATATTCTAACACACTCTCTCATCCAAAGAAAAAGGAAAAAAAAAGAAATTCTTGAAAAAGGTATCGGAAACGTGAATTTGTTTATTGTTTTAGTAATGCACATTCAAGCTTTTGTAATGATGGGTGAAGCTTTTCAATTTGACTAATCATCTACTATCGAAATTAACTTGATGTTGTCTCCTTTTTTATCTTTCTTTATTCTTTTCAATTCATTTAATGTATGATCGACCAATGTTTTCCATGAGCATAGTGAACGAGCGAAAATATGCACACTGTAAGAAGGAACCAAAAAGGAAAATTGACATAGGTGAACAAAAAATCGTTTCTTTTGTGGTTAATATTTGTATAGAGTTTTCCGGTGTGAAACTGAAATATCCAAATCTAGAAAAGGGATTCCTCACGTTATTCACGGAAGATATGCATGGTTAACATGATGCTGTACTATGGATGTTTACCATGAAGATCTTCTGTGAGGAGTGAAACAGTTAGGAATAATGTAAAAGATTTGTGATACAATGATATATATATTATATATATATATGCATGTTCTTCATTTTATTTTCCTATATATTTGTTCTTGCGCTGTTTTTATTTGAAATTTTACGTTATATATACTTATCGATTCTAACGCTAAACGTTTACTGTTACTGTTAAGTGTCTTAGAAATAATGACTTCAAAACTGATTTACTAACACATACTTAGCTTTTACAAAACAATCACCTTCACATTACATGTATTGTTAAAACAATGAATACAACATGTTATAAATTGCATGCGTCAGAAGAGCTTTCCTGGGTTCGCCTTCATCAGGAAATGTTAAACGCCGAATATTTGAAAGTCTAGGTTGTATAAAAACCGAAACAGTTGAAGAGCTATATGTCCAAAAATGACCTAAAAAATAGCCAAATCCATTTAAGGTCAACTTTACCTCAGGAAGTTGAAACATAAGTTTTGTAATAATTTCAAAATTTATAAACGGACAATTTTAGAAGGATTTGTTAATTATCTGTTTACCTCCGAACTGTATCAAATCATTTGATTCAATTAATCTATAGTTTGACCACTTTTTAAGAAATTATACATTTTTCACAAGATGGTTTTATAGTTAAGGGTGTTGGCATTTGGTATGATGCATCAACCTAAAAACAGTACTTTTTAAAGTTTAAAAATGGTAAGAATACTTTCTACGATGTTATTGACATACCAGTCTCTTATAGTTCTTCAATTGTTTTGTTATTTATACATCCCAGGCTTTAAAACTTTTGATCGTTCCCGATGAAGGTAAATCCCAAAAAGAGCTGCGGATGCATGAAATTTTCAAAGTGTTGTTTACATTTTTCAGTGCATTAGTAATATCTCATAACCCCAAATAAACTTTTAAAATGCTTGTGGGTTCGTATATGGGCTCTGGAAATATTAATCAATATTTATAAAATATCATGTCAAGACTTTTCGAAGTGCATACGTGTATGTATCATGTTTTAAGATTAAATATACAGCGAGGGGCGTACGGAAAAGTGACATACGTTATACTTATCGTAAGTTTCGAACTTATTAGTTTATTTACACAGTCATGGCTACGGTGCATTTTTCATTTGCAATGAACATGGCTCCACATTTGAGTTATCTCCCGTTGAACAAGAAAAATAACGAATTAACTACCATGACGTAAAACACGTTCCATCGGCATTTAATTGGTCCGATACTTAAGGTACTAAAAGTCCTTCTTGTGTCTCTTCTCCGGACAAAATATAAAACAAAGTTAGAATAAATCTTAACGCTAAATGTTAATGAGATAAATATCATTGAAATGTTCCATGAATTTCGTAGCAAGGTGTATAGTCGAAAGAACAAAACTAGAATCACAATTTAGAAGTCCCGGAAGTCCCGGAACTTCAAGATGCGTCTTTAATAACAAATGAAATGATATAATTGCTAATATATAATTCTTTGCTTTTTCATTATCATCAAGTCGTCCAAGGAAAGTATTGTGTGTTTCATTTTTTTTGTGTAGTCCTAAAATTTTTTTTTTAATTCTATTTCTCATCAATTTGCCAAACCAAAGTTGGAGACATCTTTAATTTCTTTTGAAGGCTCTCAAACAAACTTTGTGGACGCAATGCTTTACTTCATTGTGTCTTTGTCTTGAAAAGCAAAGGTTTCTAGAGTTTCTAATAGAATAACTGAATACTCTTCATCTTTCCTCCGTCTCATCTCAGATAGTACGATTTGTGTTTTAGAAACGGTAGATCTGTGAAATTAAATGTGTATTCAATACGACACATTAGGTGAAATGCAATGGGACGACAAAAAAAAAAACAACCAAAGAAACAAAAACAAAAAAAATTAATACAAGTGTGTTTGTCACTATATTGTAAAAAATAGCAACTGAAAAATGAGCAAGTGGTTTATTGAATTAGTCCTTTGATAACTTGAAGTTCGTCTTATCTTATTCGATCAGTGTAAGCAAAGATACTTGTTGATGTACATGTTCAATTTTTAAAAAATAATATGTTAGTGATAATACTCAATTGACATTGTTAGGAAACAAGTTAAACCGATTCGTTTAACCTGTCTTTAATTTGAGAATAAGAAAAAAAAAATGTTCAGTCCTATCAATTTAAAAAATTGTGTGTGTTATAACAAAATTCGCTAAAAGGTGGAGTCTTGAATTGCTAGGCAAAATAAATTCTGTCTCTAAGTTAAGAATTAGCAATGTTTATCTCATGTACATTGGCTGTAAGAATGAATTTGAATTTGAATTATCTCTCTTAAACATGAAAATAAAGTTGCATCTATTTTTTAATTTTAGGCTACTTATACTTTAAAGAGATTTATTTTTTGAAAGGCCTGCGCTTCTACTGAATAACCATTACTTGCATATACCTTAATCATATGTCAGAGTTGTTACATTTAATCAAATTTGAGTTATTCCTCTTGGTGTGGATATTCATATGATCATTTCGAAATTTTTAATTGGTATACAAGTAGTAGTTAACATTGTACGAATAGAAAAATATTAATTTCATAATTAATTTCATAAAATGCCATCTCACTTCATTTAACATCATTTGATAAACGACAAACTAAAAGACAATTGTTGAGAATATCACAGTTATTTAAGACTGCACAATACATCTCAAAAATGTATTTTCTCAATGAAACGCCATAAAAAGCTGAGAAGTGACACCTCTACTCAAATGCAAATGTCGATGTAGCATGAAGTAATTGTTGCCTATGCCATACTAGTTATTAATGATCGTGCATTAATTTTGTGTCACCAACAATAAGCAGGTGGCGAAAAAGGGGTTGCTTTAAATAAAAATGGTTTTCACTGTAACAACTATTTTTTGGAATGCTGTGGTGATATGTATACGTTTTTCTTCTTCCAAAAGTGACCGGCCTGAATACATTAATTGACCAAAAACATTAACAAACCTTTAGCATGAAAAAGACATTTATTTGCAACCAAACTGTAATCATATCTAAATGCAATTTATGGTTTTTCAATATGTAAATAAGTTATATTTTGGCCATGAATAAGAAATCAAAATTAACAGAAAATGGGCGTCACCTTTCCTCCACCCTCTTAACAAGAAATCAATTTATCATTATTATAATTCTAATCTTCAGTGAATGAGGAAAGACAACCTATAAAATCGTATTGTTATACTATTATAGATCATTATAAATTTTGAAAAACAAACTTCAGGGCAACGAATGTAAATATCCCCCGTATTGTCATGCGACATAAATTATATCAAAATATAATTCAACGGCAATAAACTACCCTAATTATAGAACTGTACATCATGAAGCTAGATTGTAGGATAAAACCGACCTTCTTCATTCTTAATTGTAAATCTTTAAAAGTCTGTTTATTTTAGCAAACAATTGACGCAAAACAAATGTTGTTCGTACGAACAGTATGATTATAAGACTTTCATAATATTATATAGTTAACATGACAGTATATGTCAGTCATAACATGCAAGTTTACGCAGGTGGCACGCGTTCTAGTGCACATAAGATGTAAGCATAAAATTATATCTGCACATTTGACATTTTAACTTTATATAACATAACTATTAAATTGTTTATTGGAAAATAATGTAAGTCGATCAAAGGGCAAAAGGTTCTCCCTGGTATCTTGTGCTTTTTTGACTACGTCAATTATTCATTGTCTCTTTTTGGAGCTGTGAAGTTGCCTTATTTTTAGGCTCAGCATCGTCTTATCAAAAACACAGAGTTTAAAATGATTTGAACCTATGTAACATAGCTAACTCTACGAGTGAAACAAGTCTTAATAACTCTTGTACGTTTGGACTTAAAAACAAAGTGCATAATGCATTAAGGCACTGACGATTCTTTGGAACTTTTATTAAAATTGACTCGATAAGGAGGACTTTCGGTTACAATGTGCGGTCGTTCGAACAAACTGACATCACTCTACAACCCTGCTTCGGAATATTTGCGGACAAAAACTAACAAAGAGTTAAAAACAAATACTTTTTTATCAACAAGATTCCCCTTTCTTTCTCTCTCTAAAACCAAATCTATACAACAACAAAATCAAAACAAAATCAAAATAAAACAAACAGAATAAATACGTGTCGTATAAACTTCGTCAATACAAATATTCCTCAGACAAGAGAGTTATATCAGCTGAAACATTGGTCGTATATAATGAGTCAAATATATACTCAGAAAATATAACTCTGTGAAACATTAAACTCCATTAAAGAGAGTGAAGGCATATAACTACTCAAAATTAATAAAATATCACTGGTGGGACTTAGAAAATCACAAGTTTTAGACATCGATATTCTACAACTGACACAACGTTATTTTCTTTTTGACATGTTTAATGTACTGTAGTTTTTTTAAATTAAAATTACTTTGAAAACACAAAAATTGTGTTAATAATTACAAGAACATATTCCTTGAATTCTTAGATTTTTATCTATTGTGTTTCACAGAGAATTGCAGCATTATTTTATTCAAACTTGCCAATTACTTGACGATTCAATAAAAGACGCCGCCGTGTTTACCTCACCGAAATGCATTACAAGTCAGCTAAAGAAACGAAATTCATAGTATGTTGTATATCAAATAAAACTACCACAATAATAGAAATGACAATAATTTTGTTAAATAACATTCACATAACAAACACACACACACACGTACACATTTATTCGAGCAATTGTGGAGATCAAAAACCATACGAAAAGCTGGAAGTTGATGAAAACTTAGACATATTGAGCATTAATGCAACACAATTCACTTGTGATGGCTAACCAACAGATGTTAAGACTACTGAAAAATCATCTTTACTATATCTGTTTGTGTCTAGTTTATAGGTCAGGGTAACGGGTTTGAAAAAATCAGATGTCGATTTTAAGATTTTGAAATTTAAAGATTTGAGCTGGCAAGACCAGGTGAAAACTTTTTCCTACTATGCAAATTTAACAGCAAACCGATTTTCCTCACACTCATCAGTTATAAACACAAAAATAGAATTAAAGTAGATGTATCAGTTTCACGGTTGAGTAATCTCTGGTTTCATCGAACTTGGTAGTATAGGTTTGTACAACTACCAAGCAGACTGGTGAAGCCTATATAAGGTTTGTACAACTACCAAGCAGACTGGAGAAGCCTATATAAGGTTTGTACAACTACCAAGCAGACTGGTGAAGCCTATATAAAGTTTGTACAACTACCAAGCAGACTGGTGAAGCCTATATAAGGTTTGTACAACTACCAAGCAGACTGGTGAAGCCTATATAAGGTTTGTACAACTACCAAGCAGACTGGTGAAGCCTATATAAGGTTTGGAAGCCTATATAAGGTTTGTACAACTACCAAGCAGACTGGTGAAGCCTATATACTACCAAGCAGACTGATGAAGCCTATATAAGGTTTGTACAACTACCATGCAGATTGGTGAAGCCTATATAAGGTTTGTACAACTACCAAGCAGACTGGTGAAGCCTATATAAGGTTTGTACAACTACCAAGCAGATTGGTGAAGCCTATATAAGGTTTGTACAACTACCAAGCAGACTGGTGAAGCCTATATAAGGTTTGTACAACTACCAAGCAGACTGGTGAAGCCTTTATACTCCAAGCAGACTGGTGAAGCATATATACTACCAAGCAGACTGGTGAAGCCTATATACTACCAATCAGACTGGTGAAGCCTATGTAAGGTTTGTACAACTACCAAGCAGACTGGTGAAGCCTATATAAGCTCGTTTTGTAGTTTTATTTTATTTTAGTATGTATAACCACCATTTAAGGAGATTAAGTTTTTTGCAAGGAGATGATAGCACCATATACTAATAACTTACAACGTATCTCTTTCATGCAAAGCTCTAATTCCTTCTTCGTGTTAGGCTTTACTTTTTGTTCTTTTTGGAAGAGACTTTAGTTGTCGAAATGCGCATCTGATGCAGTAAAACTGGTACCGTTAACATCTTTGAGATTTTAACTTAGGAGTTTGTATTGAGGCATAGTCATAGTTCTAAATCAGTGATGTAATTCTAAATGAAAATATCTAACTTACATCCTGCTTTAAGATGTTTGATTTACAGAAGGTCTTCGTTCTGATGAATTTTAGATATAAGTACAAAATTGATCAAAATCATTTTCTATATGTTTATAAATAAACATGTTAACATATCGAGATGAATCCAATACAAACAATAGGTTATATCAGAGAGTGGAGTATATATGTCTCTGGTTGTATGACGGGAAAAAAGATGAAAACCAGCTACTTTAGCAGATATTAGTGAAAATAACTATTTTAGTTTCCAATAAACAGGAGGTATGCCCCTATCATTGCAATGGATTTTTATATAAACTGTGGATTTTGTTTCCCACATCATTGGAAGGGTAAACTTCCTATATCAAAACATTTACTGACATGCTGCTATGCATGGATGACAATAATTTTCGAGGCAGTCTATATGCATTCTATGACTTTCTTTGTTTATCGAATATTGTGTTTGTTTGTCAAGCAGTTTTGTATAACAGGGAAGTTATTGGTATTCGTTTTCAAGTTTAAGCAACACGATGTGTGCCACATGTAGAGCAGGATCTGTTTAACCTTCCGGAGCACCTAAGATGACCATCGGATTTTGGTGGGATTCGTGTTGCTCAGTCTTTAGTTTTTTATGTTATGTTGTGTATACAGTTGTTTGTCTTTTTACTGTTTTTCGTTGTTGTTTTTTGCCATGGCTTTGTCAGGTTATTTTCGACTTATCAGTTTGAATATCATTTTGGTATCTTTCGCCTTGTCTTTTTTAATGAAACATTGTACTGTTAAAATAATAAAACGAAACAATTGTATTTATGAGGAAGATGTTTGAATTTATGTGATATTTACAATTATATTTGGTATATGGATGTGCAGTTTACTGCTAAATCATATGAGAGAAAAGTCTTCATTAATGTATTTACATATTTTGTTATTTGTAAATGTTTTTCAAATACTGTGATGGTACTTTTCTACTGTGTTTCTCTTTAACTGCTCAATAAATGATATTATATTTTGTAAACCCATGGAAAAAGAGTACCATGCATTTTGTTTTGTAAAAACAGTTATTAATCGATCGTCTTCGAACAATTTAATTTTTTTTTTCTAATTCAGTAAAGTAAAATTGTGATTTTGTATATCTAAATAATATAACTAAATTATTCAGTAAATAGTCGTTTAATATATTCGAACATCAATAAATGACCATACGATATATAATTGGACTAGAAAAAAATGTATTTATTTATCGTCAGTATACTTTGTAATTTTTCACAAAATATTATTCGAATCACAGACGTAAACAATCTCAAGCACTATCTGTAAGCAATCTTATCACAGTTCCTTGTTCTGAAAATGTCTCAAGACTTTCATGGGAATTGTACCATATGGAAACCGGCACCTTTATCCAGAGGTGATTTTGGGGAGTCACCTTAATGAGTCTGTAGTTCATCGATAATTATTAAAATCGGTCGCAAAGGATGATATGTTAATAAGATCTGATTCTGTTGGACTTTCCGGTATCCACAGTTTGGCTGTGTGACGATTGTTCCCGATTTTAGTTGTATTTCTACTGTCTGTCCAGGATAAAGAATGACCCAGAAGCTCTTCTCCGCTATCTCTATTGGTAAAATCTGAAAGAGAGATAAGAATATTAAGTCAAAGAACTGGAACAGTTTCAACAAAGTAGATAGCATTGTTTTGAGTCGTCATTTTTCCAAATGTTTTACTGCCATTTAATAATATTTTTTGGACATGGTTATTATTTCCAAAAATAAAGTGTTTTATTGTGTGTTTATGTCTTTTTTCCGCATATTTGATTATTAAATGTAGAAGAACACAATACATGTCTTTGAAAAGACAACCTTACAGAATTAACATGACATTATATTACACTGCTATACTATGTTTTGTAAGAAACATTTATTTCTTGAATTATGTGCTCACGTCGTTGGTATTTCATTTACAATACCGCTTTAATTGACATAACAAACATGCAAAAAGACAAAAACAGAAGTTAAAACAAAATAATGCAATAACTGAAAAATCCAAATATCTTACCTGAAAAATGACAACGAACAATAACCTTTTCTTGTTTGTTTGCATCAGTATTTTTATCCTGGGAATACTCGCTACAGCTTTCAACAATCCCCGATAGATATCCAATGTAACGAATTGCAAGTTTTAATGTATCCACTTTAGACAATTTTCTTTCTGTAGTCACACTAGGAGGTATAGATTGTCTTAAACACTCGAAAGCTTGGTTTATAGACTTCATCCTACGTCTTTCCCTCATATTAGCAGCTTTTCTCTGGTGTACCCTTTTAGGTGGATATACTTTATGTTCGTCACTGCTACTGTCTAAATTGTTAAAAAATACATTTTCTTGGTCGGAATCATTGGAACTCGGAGAATCTAAACTGGTAGAATAATCTACGGCATCGTAGAAATCAAGAAAGTCGTCCTCTAATGCATATAGATAATTTTCCATTTTTAGATTTATAAGGTAAAGATAAACTTATTCGTGTGACTGGCCCGTGTCTAGATATTAAATAGATATGTACACACTACGATCATATTTATATATTATAACTTAAAATATTGGGCACGTGCCACGGTGGGGACCATCGAAATTAACCAATCAGAAGGCCTGTCGCGTGCTTCTCACGAGTAATTTAAAACGTCTTTAAATTTTATTGACAAATAGGAAAACTATCATTTTTGACAAAGTCAAATTTGATACGGTAGAGTTGTTATCATGGTTAAATAGCCCTTGACAGGTACCTGGTGACTGGGTTTATTTTGGGTTTCTATTGTTAATAGTTTTATCACTTTAATACCCGAAGATACCGGTGCCTTTAATAATATTAAGTTAAATCGCTTAAAGTGTCAAATAAAATATTTAAATTTCAATCAGAAAGAGTTGGATTTATCAATTTTATGTAACAAATTAGATAAAATAAAATCACCTGTGACAATAAATAAAAATGAAAGGCAGTTTGTTGAAATAATACAACAAAACAGGAGCCTCAGGAATCGCTATTTTTAAAAACTCGGGTAACTCAACTTCAATTAGTGAAATAAAAACTTACACCCAAGACCGCAAATGAATATATCTAAAGAAAAGGTAAGAGAAGAATCTGACATGTTTGTTTCGTTTGCTGCATTGTTAATAATGTTACAAAATATATCTCCATCTTTTCTAGCATTTATTCCGATAACTTGTAATTATCAAATAATAAAGGTTTCATATATTAAATTATTTACAAAATGATCTGATGTAGGTGTAGTTGTTTAAATAAAAAGATGGTTGATTGTTGTTTAATTTATGTCCAGTGGCCACTATTTCATGCATGTTCATGACGATTGAAAAAATAACGAGTATCCAACTCTGGAACAATGCAGCTGAATGTAGGTGTACCTAAATATATTGAAAATGAACACTAATGATAATAGATGTACAAGGTCATGTTTTTCAAAGATTGCTTATGACGACTTTACTAAATTCATTGGATGTGTACTGATTGATATTTTGTTTTGGATACAAAATTTTTAATTGGCTTTGAACTAGCTTTCAATAAATATGAGTTCTCTCAGATTGGTTCTTTGTGTCTTAAGTCTTTTTGTAAAATATAAAATTGAGAATGGAAATGGGGAATGTGTCAAAGAGACAACAACCCGACCAAAGAGCAGGAAACAGCCCAAGGCCACCATTGGGTCTTCGACACAGCGAGAAAATCTCGCACCCGGAGGCGGGCTTCAGCTGGCCCCTTAACAAAAAAATGTGTACTAGTTCAGTGAAACTAAACTGCGAAACAAATAAATTAAAAAAAAACATACAAGACTAACAAAGGCCAGGGGCTCCTGACTTGGGACAGGCGCAAAAATGCGGCGGGGTTAAACATTTTTTGTGAGATCGCAACCCTCCCCCTATACCTCTAGCCAATGTAGAATAAACAAACACAGCAATACGTACAGTAAAACTCAGTTTAAAAGAAGTCCGAGTCCGATGTCAGAATAGGTAACAGAAAAAACTAAGCAAAATGACAATGATACATATATTAACAAAGGACTAATAGCAGTTACTGACATGCCAGCTCCTGACCTAAATTAAAATGATTGAAAGATTATATGTCTTCATCATATGAAAATCAAGCACAATCCCTCCCGTTAGGGGTTTAGTGTCATACCATTATAAAATATATGAGAAGAACATAACCCGTATATTGTGTGTGCTTTGTATCGATTTGATTAGTCAAGCCATATTCAATTGAATCACTTCACTTTTATTTTCATTCCGATGATAATTATATCAATTACGTGGGAGTAAAGTTGAGCGAGGTTGATGTCCTCTTGTTATTTTTGTCATAAGGTTGCTGTCTCAATAATATACACCCCGTTCTATTTTTATCCACGCTGTTTAAGAATCTTTCAGATACACGTGTCATGGGAACCTTAATAGATATTGTATCGTTTGATGTGTTTGAGCTTTTAATTTTGCCATTTGATAAGGGACTTTCCGATTTGAATTTTCTGTGGAGTTCGGTATTTTTGTTATTTTACTTTTTGTATGCATCTTTATGTCCTGTTATCCGGCTTCAATATTGAGCGAACGACAACATTAACATTACTGTTTACCTCACATACAGTTCATTTCGATGTCCTCTTGGCGCGTGTCAGCTATATTGGTTTCTCGACAACCATTGGAAATTAAAAACTAAACGCTAAAGGGTCTAAGGTTAAATTGCAGGATAAAAACAATATATGCAGATATATATTTTCTTCTTTTTTATTTTCATATACTCGCAAATGCTCGTACAAATAAATGTTATAGATATCGATAATGTACATACATATATTGTATATATGTGTAAAACTTTTCGTCCCGTTTTACACAGAATATTCAGATATGCAGTTACAATGCTTATATTTCCATTATAAATATAAAATAAATTCGGTAATTGCATGATTCAAATGATATATTTTGTCTGTAAATTCAGTCTAGCAACAACAAAGGCTGTTTTTTTAATATATAAACCTGAAGCATTGTACCACTTTTGTCGTGTTACTCACCTAAAGCAAAAGTTTACAAAACTGCGACGATGAAATGATTCAAAATAAAGTATTGATATGTGCAATTGTCATTACATTGATTCATAAATATTGAATTAATGACAAATAAAGTCAAGAAAGTAACACTATCACAATAAATTTTCAATACTTAAAATCCTGCTACTGGTAGACTGACATGGACGTTAGACGCCAGTTTGAGTACTTCAACTCCGGGTCAACAACCATCAACTTGACAAAAGTCTATTCACTTGTTGTTCCTTGCATTTGTATGCTGCATCTCTCAACGTTTGATGACAAATGTCGTTTTTTGTCAGAGGAGTTATGATAAACATAATTTGGGAGATGGAGTATCAATAAGGCGTGGTTAGCAAATGATTGAAAAGTATTAAATTGAAACATTTTAAAAACCAATTCACAATGAGAGAAAACGAAAGTGTCTACCTTAAGGTCCACCCTGTGGCGTCAAAAATGGAATAAAATATTTTATAAAATCCTTTGTGAAATCCTCTAGTGACACTGTGCAACTTTTATACCTATAGATCAACTTTAAAACAACAATGAAGACAAGTTGATTTAATGATTTAAACAATTAAAAGAACAAAAACGTATGTTTTGCTTCTCCTTTTCAAGTACTTTCTTCTTCTTACACAAGAAACTAAACTAAAAAATGAACGATCTCTTGAGACACACAACAGCAGAAACGGTTACCACATGAGGTCAGATTCAAATACCTATTTTTGCCTGACTGATGTTGTAATATTATATTATATATATTTATTAGATTTCTTGGCATGCATTTTTGTTTGATTCCATTATATGCATTAACTTTTAAGAGCCATTTAGAATTGCAAATAACATTGGAACTTATTTGATTAAATACAAATATTTTTTTCCTTTCTTGTTAAACATGAGGTTGCAAAATGTTAAACATACAATTCATAAGGTTGAACAAATAATACCTTCTCAGACACCTTTCAATATCTAACTTCAAATTAATTATTCAAATATCAAAATCGAACGTTATAAACTATTGATACGGCCATTTTGTAATACGTTATTATCTTCCAATATTTGATTTGACAATAAGTAAAATTCATTAATACCTTCTTCAACACATGACACGAGTCAAAGTATACAATCTTTAAGAAGTAGTTTGTTCTAAGACACATCTTTATGTGTTCGGTAATATCGGAAACAATTAAAGGGACACATGATCTTGGATTTGAGTTCCAGTTCACGTATTTAACAAATATAGAAAAGTTTAGTTACACGGAAACTTAATATTCATTGTCCGTTTATAGTATGAATAAATGGAGAAGAGCGGGGATCATAAATAATCGATATGATCATTATATGCTTCAGATTCATATGGCCTTGAAATGTGACAAAATTTCATTTTCGCTATAATGCTGAGTTTTCGGTAACATCGTCATATGTGAAATATATGTCATCCGCTATAATGATATTTCCGAGCTTGCTTTTCCGCTTTACTATAAGGATTTCATTGATAGAAGCTTTATCTTACATAGTAGGTTTTTAAGCCAGGGCATTGTGTTCTTAATGGTTAAGTTAAAGTCGCTTTTGCGAAAGTTACACTGACGCCATTTTGACTTGGTATACCTTAACTAATTTCAAATATCTTAGATGCTCACGGATAAGTTCGATTTGTCGTAGTCACAATCCCGTCCTATGATATGTATCATCACAGAATGAGACTTTTCACTGCAATCAGTAACTTGTATTTAGCCATACGACGGGTGCAATTAGCGAAAGGGATAGGCTTACCCACCCGAAAAGCAACTTTCTGTATTAATAAACGCAGTAAAAAAAGTTTCATGAGTTGTAACTTTCAAACATATCCTTTAAGTGATATCTACCTATTATATCATATAATTATTTCTTTTACTTTAAATTGTCATTCATACCCACTCGTCCACTTAAACTCTCTTAGAAAATAGACAATTGAGGGATTCTCGTCTAGATGTGTGATTATTTATATGTTGTATATCCAAAAATAAAAAAGGGAAACATTCCTTCTAAATCAGGCCGTTAGTTTTCTCTTTTTAATTGTTTTACATATATCAATTCGGGGCATTTTAAAGCTGACTATGCGGTGTGGGTTTTGCTCATTGTTGAAGGCCGTACGGTGACCTATAGTTGTTAACTTCTATGTCATTTGGTCTCTGGTGGAGAGTTGTCTCATTGGTAATTATACCACATCTTCTTATTTTTACATCCACCAATTTGGGTAAAAATGAAAAATAGAGCCGTTAATTTTAACATACTGTTAAATGTTCAACAATTTTTCTTCCTTTTTGTACGAAAATGCATTTTTCGATAATTTAATTTGAATCAATTTTATCTAGTATATTTCATGAAGTTACTGAAATAATTTGTATTATTACTGTGAAATGTGAAGAATGAAAACTAAACGAATTTCCTTCCAAATT